TTAAGAAAGCAGGAAGCTGAGACTCGAGTGTTAATTAACTTACTTGGGTAACAGGGATGAGGAGTAGACAGAACCAAAGATAGCACTTACTTCTGGTCTTGTAGGTTTCATTCTATTGTATTGGAGAGAGAGAGAGAGAGAGAGAGAGAGAGAGAGAGAGAGAGAGAGAGAGAGAGAGAGAGAGAATACCTGGGTAAGCATTGTATGAACAATGAGGCTTGTTTATTTAATTCTTTGGCATCCAGCGAGTGGACTGAGTCTGAAGGGGAGTCAGTGTAGAGGAGGCAGAGAACAAAGAATTTAAAGGGAAGTGCGAGGGGTTATTGCTTTGAGGAATTTGGGGACAGATAGAGTGAGGTCACTCTTATCCAGAGGGCAGGTGTCTTGTCTTTATTCTTCTTTAAGGCTTCCTGCACATCCACCACAGAGGCTGGATGGTGCTCTGCCTGCATGGTCGCCATGGCCCAGTGTGGCTGCCTTACACCCCTGGTGTGACACTCCTAATACCGTTACACTTGGAATTAGAACTTTAACTTATAAATACATCGGGGGGGCACTGTGGAAGGAACTTAGTCCTCTTTGAAACAGGATCCTAGATAGAATGGTTGGGTATTTGGACTGGAAAAGGCAATTCACATACTTTATAAAGCTTCCAGGGCTCCAATTTGATCGATAGTTGAGATGCAGAGCAGGACTCAGGCATGAGGGTGGGACACTAGGGCAGGGATAGTGTGAGAAATGTAGCTGGGCCTGAGGGAGCTCATGAGATTATGCAAGGGCACTTCAAGGAGAGATTAGGGTGGCAAGAATAATTCTAGCCTCCTGGTGGGGACCGAACTTCTATTGTATTGTCGAGATGGGTAGATTTAATTTAGAAACCGGGAAGAATTGAGCTGCCAGGTTGAAAGACTTAGCAGCTGTAGATATAAGGAGTTGAGGAGGGAGAGACTGAGAAATCCCAAATGCTTTGGAGTGGTGAGATCTCACCACAATCGATTTCACTCTGTGACCCATGTAACTGTCATGTGCCATATGTCTACATAAAATAATTAAAGCTAATTAAAATTAATTTTGGTTGGTGATGTTTGAAGAGTTTTATAATAACTCTTGAGATAATTAGAGATGTTTTGGGATGTCACACAAGGAGCGTTTGGAAAAGCTGGGGTAGATATTTAAACCAGATATGTGTGGTGAAGGCTGGTAAGAGGATGACAATTCTATAGTTGAAGGAGCATTGAGTTAGGAGCTAAAGGGTTATGCTGGTAAACTGGCTTTCCGAAAAATAAATGAACAAGTTTGCTTTGTAGTATTTTTCAGTTTCTACAGTGTGGATATTTATTTCCACCATGGCAGATTTCAAATTACCTATGGTTTATTAAATGGGATACATTTTCTGAATATTTAATAATCAGCTTTCTCAAGCCCCGTTCTAGGCAGCTAGAGCACTCCAATACAATCCTCACTGGACTTCTGCTTAGCATTGTGATCTTGGGTAAATCACTTCAATTCTGTGAATTTTAGTTTTATCATCAAAAAAGTGAAGTGGCTAAAAGAATCTCTAAGATCCTTTCCGAAGTTAGCATTCTAAAAATGCAGGTGATATTTAAGTCTAATGCCATGTTATAAGTCAAAAGTTACATCAGAATTTTATGACTGATATTGTGATATTTCAGAACACATAACTTGATATCAAATTATGATCATATTATGTGTCATCATCAACTATGTTTTGATTTCTGCTGTCATTGTATGTGTCCTTCTCCAGGGCCTCTTCCTGGAAGGATTGAAAACAGTAGGGCAGCCACTGGTGAGACAAACTTCATGGCCTAGCAGTGAGGTAAGAAACCATTACCAAAATCTGAGAATTCTATACTCCCTTGCTAGGGGCTAGGAGTCAGGTAAGGAACTGAGATAAAATCTTAAGGCTCAGGTATTTGACCGTTAGATCCAATAGTGGTTGTTCTCCCTAGACTGGCAACTACATAGAGGCCAATTTGCTCTAAGCTTTTTGAAGCCAAGAATGGTGTCTTTCATATTATGTGTGCCAGATCCTGGCACATAACAGGAGCTCAGTTAAGAGTTTGTTGAAAGAAAGAATAGACTATTGGGCTTCTAAAAGGGCAAATTGAATTTTAAAATATGCTTGAATGTGGACCTAAACTTCTCCCTATTGATCTTAATGGTGAAAAAAAGCATTTTCAAATGTGAGAAATTACTTTCTTGTTACAATAGAAAAATTTCAATGCTACAAGTTCAATCCAAATCTTCCTTCCATCTTGATAATAGAATTGATTATACAGCCAGAACTTAGTGGGGGGAAGCATGAGGGAGAAAAACTCATAGCAGGCAATCAAGGTATTTACACCTCACCTGTGAGTACCCCACTGCCTCGATTGGTAGAAATAGCTCATCTCTTTTGAAAGGAAAAAAATCAGACTTTTACATATCATGTGCTGCTTCACTAACACTTAACCTGCTTGGTGATCTTCATAAGCTAAGCATCATTATTCCCATTTTAAAGAAGGAGAAACAGAGAAGTTGAGTCATAGAAGCAGCCTGTGGTAGAGCCATGAGTCCACATCCCAAAGGTGAGCTCTTCTCACTAGACAAGGCAGCCTCAGGGCTTCCTGGGTTTCCTCTCTCTGGTTTCTCTCTTCTGTGTTTGCTGTGGGGATTTGGATGTGTCTCCCTGTGAGTGACCGGGTGCAGCCCACAACCAGAGGCACCAGCCTCTCACAAGCTGCTGAGCAAATACGTCAAATCAGAACTGTCCCAGCCTGAGGTGGCTGGGCTGAACTTTGCCCTCATGACTCAGCTCCATGGAGGCTGAGCAGTTGCAAAGGTAACTAACTGGCTATGAGTTTGAGGGCCAGGTAAGTCTTGGTGGATGTGGCACCTGGACTTTGGCAGTCTCCCGGAGAAGAGGAAGCACTCTTGGGCACGTTCCTGGAGCAGCGTGAAGGAAGGTGGGAAGCTGCCAGAGCAGGTGTGTGGGAAAGCTAGCTGCTTCTTTCCCTCTCTTGAGTTGTGCTTGCTGGCTGGCAGATTAGAAAGGCACCACTGCCTTTGCTGGGGCCTGGGAAAGTTGTTTATGTGAATGGTAGAGAGTGCTGTGTCATTATAGATGGAGTTCCTTCATTTGGAGAATCTTAGGTGTTTTCTCTTTGATATATTACAGCCTGAGTCTAACCTACTGGAGTTGGTGTCTTGGCAACAAAATCATGTGATTTCACTGATGAGATTGGGTATTTTGCCTTTGTGTTTGGAGATGGGCTGCCTGGTGAAAATTTCTGGGGACAAAGTAAAAGCAGCTTTCTTCTGGTTCTGCTTACTGGTGTCCCAGGGGTTGAGTCATGGGCCTTTATGAAAGCCCTTGTTCCCTCGGACTGCATCTGAGGCATTGGGCCTTTCCTGGAACTTGCTGGCAGAGGTGCTCATCGCACCTGGCTCTTTTGAAAAGGTGATCTGACTTTCCTCAGATCTCCTGAGTTGCAACTGATGTCGAGGCGGAAGGTAATCTGCACCCTGCTCTTCTTGTGCATTCTGCTGTCTCATAGCTCTTGGCTCATAGCTCTGGACCCTTGCTCTGCGGTGTTTGAGCACAGTGACATCTTGGTTTGGATACATACCCTTTTGACCTTTTGGTCTGATATGATTTTTTAGATAATGCTGGAGCTTCAGGAATGGGAACAAGTTAACATGTTTGATCAGAATCTTGCAACCTAAAGTAGTTGCCAAGGGAGACGACAGCTGGGGGCTGACCTAGCCTGAGTGAGCCAGTGACCCAGGGAGCTCCCTGAACAGGAATAAGGTCTGAGCCATGCTCTCCTCTGCAGGGCTCCTCTATGAGATGGGCAGAGGGGTTGGAAGGTCTTCAGTCCCTGCAGCTACTTCTCATTTTCAGGACTAAATGGGAAGTTGTTTGATGCAAGGAAGACTTCCAGATTTGAAAGTCTCCAGCTAGGAAGAACTCTTGAGACCAAGGTCTTTATTTTCTCATAGCTGCAACTCCAGGTGCTCATCTATTGGCTCCCTGGAAGAGGGATGGTTATATTATAAGGTCTCATTCTTCCAGAAGGTTAATGTAAGGATTCAAAAAATATACCTCTTGAGAGGCAAATGGAAGCTTCTGTTTGTTTAGGAAATATCTTCCAGCCACTCACAGTCCCTTAGTCTTTATCTCTGATAAAACTCTTACTACATATTGGACAAATTCTGTATGCCAACCAGTGTTTTAGCCACTTTCCATATTGATCTCTAATGCTGACAATAACTCTATGAAGTTTCCATAAAATGGAAATCATAATAGGAAAATTGAGGCTTAATTAGCCAGCTGGTAAGTGGTACTCTGTGATCAGTGAACTTTGATCTAGCTGTCTCCAAGGTCAACTCTATTTCTATGATACTTCAGCACATCCATAGTAAGTGTTATATAAATATTTGCTGGTGGGGTAAATGAAGAAACATTAATTGGGTTTCCTTGATAGTGTTTTGTAGCTGCATCTATTAATGTTATCTGTCTCCCATGCCTCCCACATCTGTTGTTCCATATGTACTCTTTAATTTTTAAAGCAACATCAATATAATTACTGAACCTGTTATTTATCTTATGTATCTGCTCAAGATTTTTTTTTTCAGATTTCTCTCTTTTATGCTCATACAGTTTGTTTTAGACGGGGTTTTGAGGATCACAAATTGCTCTTTTCACACAACCTAGTCAACAATCATGTTTGGATATAGGCTTAAAGTGATGATTTTTTTCCCTTTTTTTTTTTTTTGCATAGAAAATAAACTGACTACATAACTGCTCAAAACGCAAGAGAAATTCGGAGGGTCAGGATGGAACCTCGGGCTCCCCAGTGGCCATCTTGGCCACAGGGGAGGCCCAGGGCACCAGTAAAGGACCCAGATCGAGGGCTTCAGAGTGGACATCATCGGCCCATTCCTCACTCTCATCACAATGGAGAAGGGTTCTATCAATGGCAAGAGGTCCACGGGAGTCCGAAGCTGCAGCAGGACCCCAGGGCAGACCACCAGCAGCCCTGCTATGCATCCAGGCCTGGGCGTGCAGTTGACTACTACGATGGGGGTTATCCCACTCACTTATGCTCCAGGTATGGTTTTAGGGCTTGGAATGGACCCAGCTCTCCTAGATGCTTTTCAACAGATTGTTCTTTTCCTTCTTTCTTGTCCTTTATTTCACTTCTTTTTCTTTCTCCACTCTACTACATTGCCTTAGTTCAAACCTGTCTTCTCCCAAATTGCTTTTGATGACTGAAGACAGAATTTTCTTCCTCTTTATCCAGGTGCTTCTTAAAGCAGCTGTCACAGGTGACTGGGGATTAGGGGAGGAGTAGAGGGTAGAAATTCAAGACCACAGATGGGACCTTCTTGATCTAGGGTTGCAAAAGGCAATATATGTACACTAAGGAAAAGCTTCTGTTCGGATCCTATGGTGAGTTCCTCATCATCTTTGTGTCACCCTACCCTGGTGTTAGCATGATACCACCAAAACCAAAAAGTGACCTAGTGCCCAGAACAGTACCTGCAGTGTGGTAGGCCACACAATATAAAATTATTAAATGAATGAGAACTTTAAGAAAAATCAGCCCCAGAAAGGTAGATATAGATGTACAGGTTTTACATTCAGAAAGAGGAGGCCACAGTGATGTAATTCTAGGTTGGAGAATCTGGAATTCCTCCTTGTCCCTGAAGAATTCTAATCAATAGCTCTGGACTAAATATTTCATGGAATGTTGGAAGCCATTTATGTTCCACTCTAGCTTTTCCAGTTAGGATGACATTTATGCACCTACACATTTAGCATTGAAATTATGATAATTACTATAAAGAATTTTGCCTCTATGAAATGCTAAGGTATTATTAGTACTAACAACATGACGTTTCTTTTCTTGTTCTTATGGGTTGTTGAATTCTCAAAGGGAGGTATGTAAAGGGCAGAGGCAATAAAAATAATCAGATATAAGATAGTCCAACTTGACCTTTTCCATCTCATTTCTATCCATAATGTGGATGGAAATTATAATGATATATTAGACTCTTACAGTTGTCTTAGGAAGGGGTTTTCTTAGATAATATCTGGGCAGAGTATTGTTGGATAAATGTATTTGTAGATTAAGAATTTTACTAAAAAAAGCATTCTAAATTAAAACAGTTTTTTTATAAAAGAGTTTTAAATAAAAAAAGAGTTTTACTGTTTTACAGTAAAAATCCCAGCCTTATTATGTAACTAACAAATGTCTTTCTTCTTCTTGTTCTGATTCTGGATTTTCTGTTTCTAGTATCCAGAATGAACTGTGGCTTTCACGCAGATTCTGGACTGGAGTGGCCCTTCTACCCTCTGAAGTTGTTTAATTTGTCCAGTGCTCCCTTGCTTTCTCTGTCTACTGCACTCATCTTTAGATGACTGGCCTTTTTTGTGATACTATAGGGCAGGCTACGAGGATCCCTATCAGAGATACCTCTCTCCAGCATTGACAGATGAATACGCTTATGCAAGTTATTACTACAGTGGGCACCTGCAGCGGCGGCTCGAGGAAAGAGGTATAGAAGAGTCTCCAGGAAGCCTTTGGGGATTGGGTTGGGAGCAGCTTGCCTGACAGACAGAGCAGAGGCCATTGGTGCCGTGCAGTCTCCCCTTGGGCAGATGAGACCACAGCAGAGCCCTGCTCCTGAATGTCTTGAGAAGAGAGGAAAGGGCTTCTTTTTGCATGTGATGATGGTACGGAAACTTATGGCTGTGTTATCAGTAGTGTGCATGGTTTGTGCTTCCTATTTTCCTCTGACTCTTCCTTGTAGCCATGGTTATAGTTACTGATGAAGTAACAGTAAAGTCAGTTTTTAAGGGTGTCTAGCGTGTGCTGGGCTGTAAGATGCATCTATCACTTCACCCTCCGGGTGGCAGTCATGTACCAACAGGAGTTTTATACCCTGTACTGACAGGTACAGGTGTGGGCTGATGGCAGTTTCTGACCAGCTAGCAAAGGAAAATCAATCTCAGTGTTGAGTACACACACACGCACCCTGATCCCTAATATTGAGCATGTGGATGGTGCCATGCTAATTGGTTCACAGAGGCACTGTCAGCTCTGACTCATCAATTTAAATCAATTTGGCTTTTTTTTCCAGTGCTAGGAATCAAATGAGAATATAGCATCTGCTCGGAAAGCACTCTACCACTGAGGTTATCAGCTTCCAGAACAAATATGTTTTCATACTTGCTGTGCTCTAGTAACTCTGCTTCACAGCTCACTAGTGTCTTTCTGAAAGAACTTTCAGAAACAGCAAGTGACCTGCCTTTATTTTGTTTTCTCTGAGGGTGCAGTGCCAAGGCAGGGGAGTCCTTATGTCTGGCATGAAGGTTATGGAGATCAAAAGTACCTCAATGAATATCATCGGGAAAACCGGAATAGTCCATTTGGAACAAATGAGACCCAATTCCAGTAAGTGTGAAAGGAGAGGCCAGCTTGAGAAGATTCATTCAGCTCAGACTCCTTTAGGCCAATCTTAAGGTATCTGGTGGTGGTCCCCCACCTCCAGTAACCTGTCTGCTCTTGTTCCAGCCACAGGGACATGGCAGTAGCTCAGGATGGCCCAGGCTTACTGTTAACAGGACCTGGGCAGGACAGATTCTTATCTCTGAGGAGCTGTTCTGCAACCAGGGCTGGTTTGTGTCCCATGAGGTTACTGGAGGCCTCTCCTGCAGGAGGCCTTAATCCTATCTGGGCCTCAGAATGGATGTGGCCTTGCAAAATTCTTATGATTAGGTCCTGTCTGGAACTGAAGTGCTTCTTCTCTGTCCACTTCTGGACCCCTAGATGGAACATAACCCTGACATAAGGCAGAGCAAGGAAGAGATTTTTGTCCAAGCTTCTGTCGTGGTGCCTTTAGCCTGGAATTCACCAACCCAAGTGCTCTCATTTAACATGTTATCGCCAGCTTGAACCACTGGTGGTACATGCATCATACCGCACGGCACAGTCATGCATGTACCACTGGTGGTACAAGCCAAGCCACCTGATGGGACGGTCATTCAGGTACCACCAGTGGTGCAGAGCCACCTGGCAGCGAGACATAGGAATTATGGTCCCATCACGAACGTGTTAAGCCACTCTAGGATGGCAGGCTGCACAGGCCAACTCTTGTTTGTGGATCTGAGGCCACTTCCAATAATTGTGCCTTTTTTTCTGGGATCAATACATTGGGTAGGGAGTGGGAGAGAAGTGCTTTTCCCTGTGGCATCTGTGCTGACCCAATACACCTGCCCACACTTAGAATCAGGACGGCTTCTGGCGGAGAGCACTCAGTCTTGTTGGCTGGCCCAGCACCCGTCTAAACTCTGCTGTCATTTTGCTGCAGCTCTACCAGCTGGAATACTTATAAAGACAGCACTGCTTCTAGCTCTGGACATGAGCAGCCTGGGGAACTCCTTCCAGAGAACCTGCTAACTAGAGCCCCAAAGAATAAGGTAACCTGAAGTGACATGGGGTTGGAGGCCCTTGGCCATGCATCACAACTGAGGCTGTCAGCAGTGGCAGGCAGGACCCTTAGGGATGGGGTCTCAGCAGCTGGCTGCCTGTGGGACTCTACTCTGCTCTCAGCAGAGTCTCCTTCCATGCCTCCTCCTTTCCCTGCTTTCCTGCTTCAGTCTTATGGGTCTGAGGCACTGACTGGCTCTTTTGCATTTTTGTCAAATTGACCTAGAAAAGAGGCTGCCACTAAGTGTTAGATGTTAGGGACCCCAGGACGCTAGCAATTTGATTTGCCCAGGAAATGGAAAGTTGCTAGAATCTTTTAATTCAAGTTTGAAAAGTAGGGTTTGAAATCTTTCCTGACTCTTTCATCTCTTTCCTCTAAAGTTGCAATGTGCATACCAACTGTGCCACAAAATATAACTCTTAATTTTAAATAAACTTTTAATTTCTGAAAAGGTTTAGTTTTATGGAAAAGTGGCAAAGATACTATGGAGATGAGCTCTTAATTTCTTCAAGTCTTGTGTTAATATTTTGTCCCTGATTATTTATGTATGATTTTTGATGACAGTTTCTCTGTATACCTAGTGCCTACCAGGGTAAGTCATCTATTACTGTGACAGATGTCAACAATCCAGTAACAGCAGTCACACACATGTGTATAGCACTTTTCAGTGTACAAAGAGTTTTGAATGCACTATTTTATTCATATCTTTTCAGAATGTAAGTTCCATGAATTTCTTATATATCCGTATCCCTGGGTAAAGCACTGTACCCATAAAACAGCACAGCTCATAATATAATGGTACATGAATACAAGAGTAAGCAATAGGACAAATATGTTTATCTACAGATGAAGGTATTGAGCCTGGGTAACATAAGTCACTTGTTCAAAGTTACAGTAGAAGGGTGTTGGAATTCAAAGTTGAGATTGGAATTTAAGGTCCCCTGACCTCAGGGTCTACACTCTATTCAGTGGGCCATAATGCGTCCTTCAGCAAAAACCTGCCAACTAAACGGTCTTTCTCCTTTAATATATCCACATCCACTGTATTTATTGGGAACTTTGCATTTTGCTTCTTTGAAAAATCACTTGGGAGGACCAGCTCCCTGAATCTCCTTCTCGTGTGCTTTCATTGCTTTTTAACTTTCAGCCGTCATTGACCAGCAAGTCCAACCTTCTCCAGCAGCAGGAGTCTGGTCTCAGCTCCAGCAGCTATGAGCTCAGTCAGTACATGGCAGATGCCTCTGAGCAGTATGGTCCTGGGGCTTCAGCAGCTTGGAGTCCAGTTCATGCCGGTGAGTACTAAAGTGATCGCTGTCACTGGTTGAGCCTAATGAGGAAGGGCTAGATGGTATGGCTCTTGGAAAGTCACCTTTACCCTGTATTTCTGGGAATGAATTATTGTCTGCCTCATTTTCCTACGCAGATCTTCTAGGCAAAGAAGCCAACTTTGGCTCCACTTCCCACTATTTCTCTTGTAAAGGAGATTGCACCATAACTGGTTCTCAAAAGGGAACACTGCCCCTAGGCATCATTAGGCTGGGCCAGGAGGCATAACTGCTTTGTCTGGTTGTAGGAGATTGCCATGGGCATAGAAGTTACAACAGCTGGAGACTTCTAGGCCTCTCACTATCAGTCAGAATCCAGGCTGGTGGGCTGGGATGTAGCTCAGTGGCATTGTGCCTGCCTGGCAAGTGCAAAGTCCTGAGATCGATCCCCAGTAACAAGGAAATAAAATCCAGGCTGGTTGCATTATCATTTGGATCAAATTATCAAATCCTTGCATTGTATTCTGACATATTCTCAGAGGCTTAAATCAAAGTGGAGCATGGATCATGGGTTTCTTTTAGTTATATAGCCCACCTAGAATCTTATCTGGGTCCCAGGTGGAATTTGGGTGAAAACATGTCTGTAGTGTGTTTCTAAACTAAAGAGAAACCATGAAAGTAATGCTAACAATGCCATCTGTGTCCACTGGTCAGGGGTTGTCTCAGCAGTTGGTCCCAAGACACCCATGAAGTTCTACATCCCTCATGTGTCTGTGACTTTTGGGCCAGGAGGTCAGCTGGTGTGTGTGTGTCCCAGGTCTCCCACGGATGGGCAGGTGCCCCTTGTTGAACTGCACAGCATGGAGGTAGGTAAACAAGGCTCTGTGCCCCGGCAGTGCTGGGACATTGCTTACCCACTTACTCTTGACATACATCCATGCTTCCCTTTGCCTGAGCCTGCACATCTCTAAGAGGGGAAACTCTTGTGGGGAACTGGGTGATGCGCTCCTTGGATCCAGGGTGCAGGAACGGTGAGCTCCTTTCTGAAAGAAGTGATGCTAGAGCTATGCTTTCCCTGAGATTCTAGTGGCTCATCTTCAATAAGATACCTCACTTTGGTCATCCTGCTTTATCACAAGACCCAGAGCCCAGGGATCTGATAGAGGGCACTGTGTGGAATAGTCTTCAAGACCAATTTGATTTTCTGTTCCAGGTAATTCTTAATGACTCTGAGGCCCACGAGGAGATGAGAAGTTTCTCAGGACCCCTGATCAGGTGAATTGCTGTAAGAGCTGCTGAGGAAGGGCTCTTAAAACCTGGAAAATCTTCCTGCCCAAGTCAGCATTTTTGGGCTTTAGTCTCGGTTTCCTTGGAACAAAATGTCTGTCCCAGTTGGAATAGAGCTCTCTATGGTACTAAATAGAACCAGAGGTGGCCTGAGGCATTTTGATAAGCCATTTGATATTTGGAGCCCAGAAAGAAAAATAAGTTTAATTTGGAAATCTAAAAATTGATTTCATTTTGTAGAGGTTACATGACACGAAGTTTTTGTGTTTTGTGCACTTCATAGATATTAGTGGAAAAATGGAGCATAGCCTTGGAAATCATTGGCGAGTGGATCATAATAGAAAAAAATTCTTGCAACAGTGCCTTTTTTGAGATAAAACTATCAGCTTTCTAGTTATTGGACAATGTGCAGTCTGCCCTCTACAGGACCAAACTGGGACTGCTTTTAAATTTCCAGTGGTGTTTCTGATGAAAATTCAGAATTCCTTTGTTCTCCAGAGGCTTGGCTGAGTGTCAGAGGATCTGGCTTCTGGGTTCAGACATCCTATTAACTAGTGCCACCATGGTGGGCAGTTCTATTAGTCCTCTCTGAACATTGGTTTTCTCTCTGAGAAATGGTGTAGTAGACATGCTGCCTATCCCACACCATGGGAGGCGGAAACCCTCTAAATATCATCACTACTATATAAATATATTCTTATCCTGAAGCTTCTCTTCCAAGAAAATCCCCATATTGCATTTGAAAGCTTCTTTAGGTAAAACTGAGTGTTGTCTCTGTGTCTTATACACAGGGTTACAGATGCAGGCAGAGAACTGTGTTGGGTATTAAGCACTTGGTCCCAAATTGGCTTTGATTTATTGAAAGATCTGGAGCAACTAATAATGTCTATTTATTGAGCACTTGATATATGTCATGCTATTTGCTTATTTTTTCTGTACGAAGGTAGTTTCTTTTATTATCCCTATGTTAGGGCTGAGAGAGGCTGACGATCATAGGAGGCAAGAAGCTTGTCTGAACTGAAAAGTGGTAGGCCAGATTTGCACCCAGGGTCATCAGATTCCAAAATTTTATCTGCCATTCAGTGCAGTCACTTCAAGTCTCTGGTCCTCAGTTTCCTCATCTGTAAAAGGGAAAGTGTGTGCAAGACAATTTCTGAAGTCCCTTCCTGTTCAAAAGAAAATAACTATCCTGTGGGTACAGGTGTGTTATTCAGCCCTGGGCTGTGTTGTCAACCTCAGCCCCACCAGCACCTACACCCTGTAGGGGACCTGGGGTCCCGAAAAGTGAGTGTCTTGTCTGCTCACTCTGCTTCCTGAAATCTCTTCACAGGCAAGATGTACACAAGGTGGATATCATGACATTTTGCCAGCAGAAAGCAGCTCAGAGCCTCAAATCTGGGACACCAGGGAGCAGGGACTCGGCTCTACTTTGGCAACTATTAGTTCTCCTTTGTCGCCAGAATGGGGTAAATCCCTGCTTTGATGGGAGGGCAGGTGCAGGCTGGACTGGGATTTAAGTATTCATGGGATAGATAAGATGTGGTGTATGGTATGATTGTGAAAAGTGGCATTAAAGAAGCGGCACACTGTCCCTAGGGAAACATCGCTCAAATGTCAACACCAGTTTGCTAACCTGAACTGTCCCCCTTACTCTCTTCTTTGCTGGTTAGGGATTATTGTACCACTGCTGGGTTATTGCACCAGTCAGATAATACCTCTGTGAAATTGTGAATGGTTCCAGTAAGCTTTGTGGTCCTGACAGGCAGAAAATAACCATCGTAGTAAAGCTGACATTTGAAAAACAGTAATCCAAGAAAGGATGGCCTTGCGTTTGCATGATTGGCCTCCATATGAAGAAGGCAGATGCCTGGCACCATCCTTCTGTAGCTTGGGCAGCACAAGCCCAGTAAGGCTGTCCCCCAGGATGACCCCCCTTTGCCTTGCAGTCCATGGTGGGGTCTGACATAGCTGAGCTGCTGATGCAAGACTGCAAGAAATTGGAGAAATACAAGCAACAGCCCCCCGTGGCCAACCTCATCAGCCTGATGGGTGAGGACTGGCCTGTGATGAACCCTGGGACCCGCAACCTGCTCACTGGGGAGATCCCCCCCACTGTGGAGACGCCGGAGCAGGTTGTGGAGAAGTTCACCAAGCTGCTGTACTATGGAAGAAAGAAGGCAAGTATTGCCTTCTCCCGGGCTTGTTTTAGAAAAGTGACTGCATCCTACTCCACCACTCACACCTCCTCCAGTTATATGAACAGTACACACTCATTTTAGAGCATATGGTAAATCCAGAAAGGTTCAGAGAAGAAAATAAAAACACCATCATAGGCGTTTTTACCATTTATACCTACAGAGTGAGATAGCGTAGTCCTACCATTAAAGGATAACACATGTTAATATTTTAGTATATCTAGCATTTTCTCATGTGTAGCTTAAAAATCAAATTAAATTATAAATACAATTATTTATTTCTCTTTTTTGACTTAAGATTTATGTGGTAAAGTACCCTTTTGGCATTAAATATATTCTAATAGCACCATTTTATTTTATTTCATTTGAGATTGAACTCAGGGCCTTGTGAATACCACACTAGTCCTTAATTACTGACCAATAGCACCAGTGGGGGGAAAAAACATAGTTAGCCAATCCATGGTTGTTGAATATATAGGATTCTTACAATTTTGTTATCCATTACAAATTATTGCATTTGAACATTTTGCTATATAAATCACTGGCTGATCTTTTTATTGTTTTTTAAAGGATGGATTCCCAGAAATAGAATTATTGAGTATAGAGCAAGGAGTACGGAATATGCAATTTTAAATATTTCTTCATGTGTACATTAAATTAGTTTCCAGAAATGTTGTTTACAAATAATATTCCTGCCACTGTACCTCAGGTGTGCCTATCAATATTGAATGCCTTAATTTAACAGGCAGAGAATGATATCTAATTTTGAAGTTGTGCTGATGCTTTATAAAAGTAATAAAGTGCTGTAATTTTAAATATTTAATATATGATTAAAACCATATCAAATCAATTTAATTCAAGATCAGAAGATGAAAGAATTATATATAAAATGAAGAAATGCTGCCACTTCCAGCTACCCAATTGCTCTCTGAAAATCCAGATATTTTTCCATTTATAATTATTTTCTCCTTTTTTTCTTATGACACACTATTATTATGACTGTACTTCCCTTTTCTTTTTCCACTTAACAAAATATCTTAGAAAACAAACTTTGGAGTTGGCAAACTTTCCATAAAGGGACGGATAGTAAATATTTTAGGCTCTGCTGGCCACCGAGTCTTGTACTATCCAGCTCTGCCCATGTAGGGAGAAGGCAGCCGCAGACTTGGAAGGAAATGGATAAGTGTGGCTACATTTTAATCAAACTTTATGGACATAGAGACTTGAATTGCACATCATTTTCATGTGTTATGAAACATTATTTTAGTTTTTACATTTTATAATCAGTAAAAAGATAAAAAGTGTCCTGAACTGGTGGGCAGTACCCCCACAGGCAGTACATTGGATTTATCCTTCAAGCATAGTTTGCTACTTCTGCTTTTTATGATACCTTCTGTATCATATATATATCTATATCTCACTTTCTATATAATAACATATACATCACCTTCCATATCATAACATATACATCACTTTTGATGTCATAGCACACATATATGTCACCTTTTATATCATAAGATATATATCACCTTCTATATCATAACATATATAACCTTTTATGTCACAACATATATATCACCTTCTATATCATTAATATATATGTTACCCTCTATATTATAACATATGTATCACCCTCTATATCAAACCTTCCTCGTATTTTATGGCTACATAATATTCTATGGATCTTATAATTATTTTAAACAAATCCCTATAGGTTGGCATTTAGATTCCTTTTGCTATTACAAAGAATGCTAAAATGAATAACCATTGTCATTTTCCTAAATGTGAGAGAATACAGATTTCTGGAAGTGAAGATGTTGGGTTGAAGGGCAGAAGGTGTGTAATGTTAGATGTTGAAAACCCGCCTCTTTAGAGGTTGTGCCAATTTGCCCTCCCAGTAGTGTCTAAGAGTGCTTATTTCCCCACATTCTCACCCATCAAAAGTGTTTTTGAACTTTCAATATGTGCCAATGTGAGAGGCGAAAAAAATATAATTCGGTGTAGTTATTTGCAGTTCTATCATTATGAATGAAGTTGAATATCTTTAAATCTGTGAAACTTTTTGTCATGGGTTTTCTACATTTTTCTGGAGTCTTTCATTGTCATATGTTCATCTATTAGAACTTTCTTTTAGGAATTTCTGTCAAAATAAGAGCTGTTGGAGGGGTCATATTTAAGAAACATTTCCCTGCTTCAATTTGAATTTGTAAAATGAAGCTGAAGTACTTTAGTGACTTCACTTTTATATTTAAATATTTAATCTCTTGAGGGTTTTTGGAATATGCTGTTATCTTTTAAGTGAGCTTATGACATGATGCCCAGAAAAAATTAGTGGGATCAACTTACAGCCATTCTTCATATATTCACTTTATAGTAGGAATTACAGTTTTACCTGTGATTCCTTTATCCAATAAACATTTATTAGCAGCTACTACTTCTCAGGCATTGAACCCAGTGGGACATACAGAGATAAATCAGTTATGAACTCTTCCTTTAAGACAGATGAGTAATGACCATATCAAAAATAATAAAGGCAGATAATAATTTAAAAATAATTTAAATAATTATTTTCTACATGGCAGATACTTGGTTTACATCTTACATGCATAATCTTATTTATCTCCATAGAAACTCTGTAAGTTAGGTTCTATTCTTGTTTGATGTGTTTACAGATTAGGGAGGCTAGGAAGTAGTAGGGCCAAGGCTGAGGTCTGTGCAGCCTGACCCTGAACCTAGGCTTCTAACCCCCTACCTCATCTTCCCACCAGGACCCAAAGGTAAGTGGGCCATACAGGGAGCACTGCAGTAGTTCAGGGTGAGTCATGAGGAGCTGCATATCAAAATTTCTTGCAAATCTTTGTTCACATTTGACTAGGTTAATATTTCCAGCCTTGTGCAAGATTACAACTTCAATATAAGTTCTTCATTTCTTCACTTATTCTTAAATTTCATTTTTGGAGGGGCAGAGTTTTGAGTAAACTGGTGATGCTCAGTCAAGCATTAGTAACTCCTTTCCCCTTTTTTCCAATAAAAAGCAGGAAATAGTTAAAATATATTAATAAAGTAACCCTTAATGTCATATTTTACTTGCTCTGGCTGTAAGGCTGAATTTTCTAAATGTTGCTTTAAAAATTTGTTCTCTGTCTTTCTCTCTTCAATAAAATTACATTTGAAAATGTTGGGATAATCAAAGAACTTCTTCCTTGGAGGTGGAATTACCTCAGTGACTTTCCATCCACAAATCACAGTTTTGGGTACAGGCACCAAGAAGTTTATTAATACCAGCTCAAAATTTTACATATAAATTAGGTCCTTATTAAATAATTCTGAAAACTGAATGAAAAGGTGAATGTGTGTATGTGTTTTAGCACCTCTAGCCTATTTTAATTAATGGTGCTACTGATTTGGCCTACAGAAACATTTGATAGTTAACAGCAATTAGTTTTAGCACTAGGTAGGCAGGCTAACTCCTATCTATATTGGCTTAAATATAATGCCATTCATGTAAGAATACTGGGTAGGTGAGTGGATCAGTGTGTCACCCTCCACAATATAGTGAGACTCAGGATGTTGGAGGTAACAGCCTCTTAGAGCTTCTAAGGTTCCCCAGGAGTGCTCTCCATTCCAGCAACCAGATGGGCAGAATACATGGAAGACTTGGTGTGGGTGGTTTTATGGGCGGGACCGGAAGTGGTACCTGGCACTTCCATTTCCATTCCATGGTCTAGACTCCAATGGTCTAGACTCAGCCATGCCCAGATGCCAGGCAGATGGGAAAATGTGGTGTATCTCTCTGTTCAAGAAGGAGAATATGGATTTTGGAAGGAACCATTAGTTTCTGCCACAGTTATTAAAAAATGCACTCTACCTTAATAGGATCACATGAAGATGCTTTTTCTGCTCCTATTTGAGCTTCATTCCTTGGGATGGGAGCTTTTCTCATTTTTGTTACATAGGTTCTTGTAAGTATTTTGTAATATCTGCTAAACAGAGAAGGCTACCTGGCACCCGTGTCTGTGGGGAAGGTAGCGGAATGGCATAATGGATGGCTGGAGATGTGGACAACCTGTAGGAAAATACCATGCTGATGAGAGTCTGCCTCTCTGTTCATCCTTCTTTCCCCGTATACGGGAGACTCTGAGTCTCCTTGACAGCTCAGGCTCTATGGCTGAGGGTGCTGATATGCCTACTTTGGGGAATTTGTTGTGTTTTTTTGGAGGAAGTTGGGCAAGGCATTACTGAATGTGATGTTTTGGTTTCCAGGAGGCCTTGGAGTGGGCAATGAAGAACCACTTGTGGGGTCACGCTTTGTTCCTATCCAGCAAGATGGACCCAAGGTCCTACAACTGGGTCATGAGTAGGTGAGTCCAACTTGGAAAGGAGAATAACAGAGTCAAAATGCTTCCACTCCAAAGGTGGGGAGGTGATCAGGGTGGGGAAAAATGCATGTTGAGAAAAGAAGCCCACACTCCAAACAGTTTCTAATTTCTCTTTTCTGAGCCAGATGGCATTTCTCTGCTCAAGAGCCTTATAACATAGATTCAGAGGCATCCTTTGTATTTCCTAAGTGGAATGAAATATTTTAGTCATAGTTTCCAGGATCAGGATTTCTGAAAACCAAGTCAGTTTTACATTTCAGTAATCTTTGGGAGGGGCAGTTCTAGACAGTTCCATTAGTGAAGGAATAGGCGATTGATTACTTGATCACTTAAGTTCAACTGATAGAGCTTTAGGAATGAATAAGTAAATGCCTAACGCTTAATGCTGCAGTGATGATGTGAGTATTGAAAGGTGGGTGGAGATATGGGGCAGCAGGACCATGAGCTGTGGCAGCAAAAGATGTTCATAGAGTCAGGAATTAGAAGTCAACCTCTGTGGCAGTGGGGCTGTCGAGACTGCAGAGAGGGCTTGGTAAGAGACCACAAAATCACGTCAAGTCCCTGGTGTCAGGGTAGACTGGTAAGAACAACCAACCCAGAACCAGACATGGTTCATAGAGCGGAACAGAATCAGCACTGAGGAGGTGGTGGGCAAGGGGTGGTGGAGAAGGGTTTCTGAATAAGTCTTCAGGCTCCAACCAGCACCGTGAATGGCAGGGGTGGTGGTGGGGCTCTGCAGGGAGGATGAGGCTGAGGGTCAGACTGTGGGAAGGATGTTACCTTTACACGTATGCCTCCTTGCATGGATCAAGCTCTGAGGGTACCCTCTTAACTTAGGTTCGAGTTGGTCACGAGTCCCATGGGGCAGAGGGTTGGTGAGAAGACTGTAGGTTCAGTCTGTGTTCTTAGTGGCTGTCATCCAGCCCGGGAGCCCATATTTCAGAATGGCCTCAGCAGAGTCTCTATTGCTCTGACCCCCACTCTCTCAGGGACGAGCAACCCCGCTGAGCACTTCATTATGCCCAGAGACTGGAATTGTGAGAAGTGCTCTGGTCCTATTATAATGAGTGCTCTGAGCTCCTGTGGCAAGGGTGCTGTTAACTCAAAACTAGTGTTCTGAGGGATGATTTTCCCTTGGGTTTTGAAAATGAACATCCCTCAACCCCAGGATGCAGCATACATCTCTGCTACAGATTTTTGCCTTGGGCCATTGATTTTTGATGGGGCCCAGTGAATTGTGAAAAATATCTCTTACTGAGTATGCTTAAATCTCAGATCAGCTGTAGAGCTTATTATATCCTTGTTAAGCATATCCCAGGGTTTGTCATCAGCAGTATCATCTCTGGTCCCTTTTCTCCGCCTTCTTGGTTATTGAAAATGGCCATTTAGTGCTTGTGAGTGAACGCTCTACAGACCAAGGCTTGGGACGAGCAGGGAATGACACTGACAGCTCCAGGCTTGGTGTGGAGGAGGGCTGCAGGGGAGGAAGAGCCCCAGAGAAGGGCTGTAGGTGAGCGGCCGCTGCTCTCCAGGGCCCTTTGAGACATGCGTGGAGTATTTTGTTGATGGAAGAAGGCCTTAAGAGGGCATCAGGGCCAACATGCAGAAAATATCTCCAAACAATTGGCTTGTGATGGAATGAAGGTGCTGCTGATCTCCCCAAAAAGGAGGACATAAAGGCACAGCAGAGGGCAGAGAGATGTTTATGTTCCAAAAGAAGCCACTGGCATCAAATGGAAATGTGCGAGGCCTATGTGTTGGCAGTGGGCTGAGACCTCTGGCTTGGTCCCCACCGAATGTCCTTTCTCTCTGCAGCTTCACCAGTACCCTGGCTCTCAACGACCCCCTGCAGACCATCTTCCAGCTCATGTCGGGGAGAATTCCACAAGCAGCCACGGTACCCTCTAGGACAGGATTCCTTCCACACCCCATCATCTGAAGGAAGGGTTGGGTGTGGGTGGATGTGGGGGTCTCAGGCACGCAAGGATGGCTTTCAAGGTGAAGCATGAATGACAATAGTTTCTTAATTACCTACCGTGTGCGAAGTGCTCTGTTTCATATTATTTCAGTTAGTACATGAAGGTAGGAGTTATTATCCCTGTTTCACAGATGTGGAAACTGAGATGGAAAGTTGCAAAATGGCTCAAGATCATGGAGTTAGGGAGGAGTCAAGTCATAATTGGCCCAGGTCTGTCTGACTCTAAAGACCTTGGGCTTACACAACACAACAGCAATGGCTGCTTTCTCCCGGCTTCCCACAGTGGGGCGCCGCTTTTTTCCTGGGAGCAGAACTACCCCGGTAAGTGTCGGTCCTTCAGAGCCAGACAAGTCAGACTTTACTGGAGTTGGATGTGGATGAGGAGAAGGCTGAGACCTGCTTGAGAATTTTCCCATCATAGCGAACATGATCTTTTTGCTCTGAAGTATTTCTTCCTTATCTTTGAAGTCCAATAACCTTATTAAGGTATATGTTGGTGTTAACTGTGTCAGTTTCTTCTTGGGATATAGCATGACTTTTAAATATGTGCATTCATCTCACAGAGTTCAGGAAAATGTTTTTGAATATTTGTCTTATTCCATTATTTTGGTTTTGTTTTCAGGAATTCATATGTATAAATTATACATGCACATGTGAATTTCTTTCCTTCCTCCTTCCCTTCCTTCCTCTTATTTTTATCCTCTATACCACTGACTGTGTTTTCACTATGTCTCCTCCTTTTGTGTTCTTTCTATTTTTGCCTTTATTTCTTTGATTCCCCCCCTATTTCCTTCCTGAGTGGTACAGGTCACATTTGTTTCCTCCTGTTGTCCATCATCTTTCTTGAGTTCATTTAACTTGTTTGTGCTCCTGCTTCATAAAAGCAATTGTTTCACTATCCCCCTGTTTCCTCTTGAATGTACCTTTGTTCAACCTCTATTACTTTTTGGCAGAACCACTGAGCTAAACCCCTGGCTTGGCAGCCTTTTTTTTTGAGTTTTAAAGTTTGGATTTTTGCTGACAGCTAGTTTTAAAGAAGACAGACTTAACACTTTTGCTTTTTTTGTCCTTCTTATTGCTTGTGGATAATTCTAAGAAAAGAAAAGAGAAATGATGATATTTAGCCCTCATCATTAAAGCAATAGGTTATTTTATTTTATTTTGGGGGGGGGATTGAGACAGGGTCTCACTATGTTATTCAGGCTGGCCTTGAACTTGTGGTGATCCTCCTGCCTGGGCCTCCCAAGTGCTGGGATTACAGGCTTGTGTCACCATGCCTGGCCAATAGGCTATGTTAAAACATAGAGCGTGCCTCAGAATTCAGCTGAAAGATCTGTGTTCTGCAGTGAAATCATGTCATGTTATACAGTAGAAAATGTATAAAGTGATATAATCCACGTATGGCCCACTGGGTTTCACTGCAGTGGAAGAGTTGGCCAATTTCCATACTTTTAGGTGAGAAAACAGAGGAGCTAGAAGTGCTGTACCAAGTGTTTGATGTGAGGGTGAGGCAGTTTTCCAGATGCTAACTTCCGATGAAAGGCCAGACTTCAGTTCCACGTGAGGAGGGCTGTGGTGGGGAAAGCATGGCCACTGGACTCAGAGGTGCGGGTTTCATCGCAGATTTAACCTTGACTTTGCTCTTGCTTTGTGCAAACTTGACTTTCTTATTTCATCTCACAGAACCTCAAGTTTTCTTATTTGTGGAGATTTTAGTGCATGACCAATAGAGTTATTGTGAAAATTAAAGAGAGAGACTATCTAGACCTACCAGTCACCATGCTTAGCCCACTGACCTTAGTTCATAAATGTGTCCTTGCTCTCTCTCTTTCCCCATAGATCTGATGTATGGTGATTTTTTTTTCAAGTCACCTAGAGTAGAACAGAGATAGAAATACTAACAAGTTCTTTTTTTAAAAAAGGAATTTCCTTTTTTGTTGTTGTCGGTTTTTTTAGATCCCGCAGAAGCAGCTTGGCTTATGTGTTAAAATGCGGGTAAGAGTAGTGCCTAGCACATGCGACTGTCGGCAGGAGAAATGCTTAGCACAGGGTAGAGTTCATGGTCTAAGCCATGGTGATACACAAGAGCTTCCATTACTGCCATGACTCTTCTTGTGCTTCTTCTTCCTCCTCCTCCTCCTTCTCCTCCTCCTTTATTTATACTGCATTTTCCAAGTTAAACAAGGATTAAATATAACATGAGATTGGAAAGAGCATCTTTTATTCATTGAGATATTTACAAACACCAAATAATTGTGAATAGTTTGGACCTCCAGACATTAGTTATTATTGTCAGCCTCCTAGTCTACCCATCTATGCAACAAATTAGAGTTAGACAGGCTTGAAAATTACTTCTCTCCTTTGCTATGCTTCTAGTCTTGTGTGTGTGTGTGTGTGTGTGTGTGTGTATGTGTGTGTGTACCTACTATAGAATTTATAAAAGACAAACCAGATGTGAAGCATTATGCTAGGTGCTTTACAAACTATCTTACTTTGCTGTCACCAGCAATCCTGTTATGTAGAAATCATGATCTCCATTTTAGAGATGAGGAAACAAAGGTTCAAAGTCATTAAAAACCTTGTTCAAGGTAACACGGCTACTGTGAGGCATGACTTGAGTCAAATCCAGACCCTGTGTTGTTTCTATGACATTATGTTGTTTGTAAACTGACAGTTTCCTCCCTGAGATTCTCCTTCACTTAGAGGAAGTGCTGCATTCCAGGAAGCCCACAGGGAGAGCACCGTTTATATGGGGCTTCTTCGCCTTTCCACTTCTCTGCTGACTCTCTGCTGCCCCCTGGTGGGCTCTCCTGCCTCTGTGTTGTCCTCCAGAAGAACAGGGCGGGAGAAAAATGAACTGGGGCTTGAGTCCTGGCGGGCTGTTAGGCTTGATTTTCTCCTTCCTAAGTAGTGATAGGAGTTAGGCTTCATAGGACTGTTATGAAGGTTAAGCAATAGGATGTTACTTATGTAAAGGGACTTCGTAAGACCAGAAAACAGTAGACATTTGGCAAGACATTAAGCAGCCTGGCCTTACCCTGACTTCTGTGATGAGCTAATCCTGTCTCCTGTGCTTATGAGATAAGGATGTTTGATCTTCCTTCTCCCACTGAAATATCCAAGGTTTTCTTGGCGGGCGGGGGCGGGGGTGGGTGGGCTGACGTTGGGGGCTTGGCTCCAGCTATTTGGGGCAGAGGCACTGGGAAGAAATTTAAAATTAGTGAATAATTAATAAGGTTGTTTCACCTATCTCCAATTTCCTTATGTATGTATGTATGTATGTATGTATGTATATTCATATCTGTATGTATCTGCCTGCCTTTTATCTTTCTAGGAGGTTTTTCTTGAAGAGAATTCTAAGTCAGCAAATGGCAGCATTGCAGGCAGTATAATGGATATTTCCCAAACTCCTCCAAACCAGAAAGATAGACAACAGCCTTCTTTACCTCCATTCTGGGCAGTACTAAACAATCCTGTGAACCTTCATTATTTTCCTGATATTTTTTAGTGCTGTGGGGACAAGCAGTGGGGAGACTGGAGGCCCCACTTGGCCGTGATTCTGTCAAATCAGTCTGGGGACCCAGAACTGCATCAGCGTGCGATTGTCACCATGGGGGATACTCTGGGTAAGCAGAAACTGGCACTGCCCGCCCCCTTCTCTAGGGCCGCTCCAGGCCAGGTTTACACACCTGTCCTTAGATTGTTAGAGTCTGGCTAGGGGCGGAGTCTATACCCAGGTCTCTCCAGGACCCAGGAGCCTCCATGTTTTGGGATAAGAAGTTCCAGGGAAAGGAGTGTCCTGCTTGCGTTTGTCTCCTAGAGTTTCCACTGCAAGCCAGTGCAGGCCAGACCCAAGAGCTGGTGTTCTGTGCTTCAGAGCCACTTCCCAGCCGTTGATTTTCTCCCCCAGGTGACACTCTGTTCACATGGAGTTAACACTGGAGACTCCTCGCCTCCTGTGGCCATTAATACTCCAGTGATCCAGCTCAGTCAGACAGGAAATTCTGTTCTTGCCTGAGCTACCCCAGCAATTTTGCAGTCTACGTCTATTATCTCTGTGAGCATGGCCGCACAAGCACCTATAGACTATGGAATGTTCCAGACCAGTGCAACTCGAGTTTGGTCAAGGGGCAGAAGGTCTAGAAATCGCGGTGACCCTTGTGGACCTTTGGGGAGCACTGCTCTGTTAAGCTTGAGAGAGCTCTGTGGAAGGCTGTCAGCAGCCTCGACAAAAGGGAACCGATATTTGCCGAGCCCTTCCTGGGTGTCAGACTCTGTGTTAGGTATTTTACCTACTTGCATTAACTTTGAGGCAGTGGAAAATGTACAGGAGAACTCTTAAACATTAAGAACAATTTGGTAATTAATGGGATTTTTATGAGCTCTGGGAAAAGCCTTCTGTTACTCGATGTTAGCAGGAGTTGCACTTGGGCCCCGGAAGCCTAGTTTAGGAGTCGTTACTCTCCACACTCCACTTCTTTGCTCAGATGTGGGCATCTCCAGTCCATTCTCCCTTGGAGGAAAGGCTGAAATGTTTAGAAAATGCCGAATGAAAAATCCATCGGGGGAATGTGAACAGTGCCTTGTTCTGGTTGGAGAGAATTGAAATGTAACATCCGGGGTGGAAAGTGCTGGTGGGGAGGGGTCAGGTTGGGGGATCCGTGACTCACGGTGTGAGAGGTTCATTGCTGTAGTCTCAGAAGGCTTCTTCCCTCTGCCTACCGAGTCCATTCTTTCATCTCTCTCTATCCCACCCAGACGGTGGGCCGCCCGTGGGTGTGTGCCGTGACCCGGTCTTGTTCTGCTCCTCCTGCAGCTGGGAAGGGGTTTGTGGAGGCAGCTCACTTCTGCTATCTCATGGCTCATGTGCCCTTTGGCCACTACACTGTGAAGACAGACCTTCTGGCCCTGCTGGGCAGTAGCCACAGGTACGTGACCTCCTGCGGGGAGGAAATGGCAAGGATGTTTCCCATGGAATTCTTTTAGCCCTTGCTGTGCTCGTGGAGCCATTTTTCATTTTCTGTAAACTCCACCTACGGCTGGTTCCCTCTAGATTGTGTTCCTGTGCTGCTCTGGGCAAGATGATGAGTGGGTGCTGCATGGGGGCCTCAGGACTCAGGTCCTGCTCCGAGGGAAGTTGCCAGCCGGTGCCTTTGGGTTGTATTGTGCCCTTCTGGCCACTGGGTGGCACCCTGGCTCCACAACCAGATGTCTCCAAAAAAACTAAAAACAAAAAAACCCCAATCCAACCCACCAAACAAACAAAAACCCCCCAAAACAAAACAGTTTTGTTAGGCAGCCCTGGGCCAGTTCTGGGAGTCCATCTGGGCAAAGTGGAAAGTGGAAGTTTGCGTTTCGTCCCTCCACAGTGACTGGGTCCAAGCTCCTCAGAGCCTGCATGGTTGCTTATTCCCTGTGGGCCATGACATCAGGCTTTCATAAGGGAGAATGAGTGGATAACAGATGAACAGACAAGCAGCCTCCTCACGGTACTCTCTGTTCTGGATCTGTCTGTCCCCTTCCCCGTGATGCTTAAGATTTATGAGTGTTTTATGTGGTGCCGGCCACTTTCTTTGCACGATTTCCTTCCTTACAGATTTACCCAATGAAGAAGGTATATTTTTAACCCTCACGTCTGAAGGAGGGAACCCAGGGCACAGAGAGGTTAAGAAGCTGGTCTGAGGTAGTGCAGCTCATGTGCCCCCTGACTGGGAGTCAGGCAGTCAGGTCTTAGAGCCCATGCATGTAACTCTGCCCCAGCCACCTGGCCCTGAGGCCCCGCACCTGTCTCCCAGCCTGTTCGCTCCCCAGTCCGGACAGCACGTATGTAGTTAGCTTATCAGCAGAGCCCACCTGGGCCACATGGACAACAAGGGTGTTAGGGATTCTGTCTCCCCTCTTATGTTCGGGACCTATGAGGACATTTCGGGAGATCCTGTCCTATCTCCCAGGAATAATCTGGTGACTGATTTTGGACACCACGGCAAGGTGTTGAGGGGAGAGACTTGGGGCACGTGGGACTCAAGGCCCCAGTCATATTTACCCAGCCCCCTTCCTCACTGGCTGAATGAACACACACCCCAAGTCCTGCCGCTTGCTCTCTGGCTCAGCTGCCATTCTCCACCTGGTCTTCTCTCCTCCAGGCCCCCGAGGGCCATATGGCCCCTCTTCCAGGCTAGTGTGCTCAGGCCACAGTGGCCTGGGACACACCAGGCTTTAGGGCTGGGAGGGCAACTCTCAGAACATCTCAGGGGAGGACCTGCAGTTCTACCTTCTGGCAAGGGATCCTGGTACAGAGCTCTGTTATTCCTGACCCAGGCCAAGATGGTGGAGGGAGAAGAGCGCATCCATGCTGGGGCTGGAGTCTTTTCTGTCTTGGAGCTGCAGGATCAGCCTAGGATGGAGCCCCTGGCATTGGTCTATCTCCTCAACCCATCCTACCCCACCTTAATCCCTTATGTTCTTATTCGCTATTGTAGTCAAGAGTTCTTGAAATTCGCAACCACCGAGGCTATCCAGAGGACGGAAATCTTCGAGTACTGCCAGATGCTGGGCCGCCCCAGATCTTTCATTCCTTCTTTCCAGGTAACAGAGCCCAGACAAGGCCGTCTGCTTAGCTGCACCAGCCGGCTGTGCACTGCTTGGTTTTCAGCTTTGCTTTCTGGCACGAGGTACCTGGGGCTAAGTCATCTACTGCATTTTTCCTCATTCATGTGAGAGTGGGAAGGTTTTAGGGTTTCTTTTTATGTCCCTTAAACGTTTAGATTTTACTATATGAAAGCAAAAACTTGCAGAGGCCTCTCTGCTGGAGGCTCCCGCCTCAGTCCTGCCATGGGAAGATCGCACTTGCTGTCCTCAGTCCCCTCGTACTTCCGGCCAATAGCACCACCCTCTGCCGTCCTTTCCACAGCTGACCTGCCTGGGGGTCAGGGACTCCTACCTCCTCCCTGCTGACTGAGGCCCTCTGCTTCTCTTCTTGCCTTTCAAGGTTCATTTTGTACGTAGCATCCAAGCTGTCTGTCCTCTCTTCTCAACTCTGGTTAGTGTCCTTGGAGATGAATTACCGTGTTATAAAGAGATGACCTGCTTGATATCATCAAGTTTTACCAAAGCTGTCTTTTCCAGCAAGTCAGCCCCGTCTTGTGGCTTCTCTACGTCCATTTCCACCTCCTTTTCCTTCTTTATTCTCCCCACCTCTCAGTTATCTTGACACTGCTCTGGGCCCACAGTACTGACTGTGCTCTCCATGCTGGTGTTGTGCATGGTGCTTCTTGTGTATTAGTTTTAATTCCAACGAGCAGGCATGATTATCCACCCCGTGCCCCTTTTATAAAAGAGGAAACAGGCTCAGAGGGGTTGCATACTCTCCGCTCACTTCTCTCATGTAACATTTGCTCTATGTGCTTTATGTGGATTATCTCATTTAATCTCTACAACAACCAGTAGGGAGGTGGTATTATCATTCCCACGCTGCAGTGAGGGAACTGAGGCACAGAGAGGGGAGGGAAGTCACCCAATGTTCCGCAACTTGCATGGCACTTGGATTTGGTTGGGTCTGTCTGGCATCACAGCCCTTGTGCTGATCTCACCATGTCAGCCCTGCCTCCATGAGTGCTTACCTGTTTCTCTACATTTGTCTGGATTCTCTGCTGGGCCATAAACCCTTTGTACCAGGTCTTCTTTTGCTTTTTCGTATGTGCCCTAGTGCTGTGCTCCATGTCCATCAGGCTCTCTGGGGATGCGGGCTGCTGGTAAGAAGCATTCCAGTGCCTTTCCGTGATGACCAGGGCCTGGGAGGATACAGTAAGCTGAAGTGAGCCCCCCCTTTTCTCTGTAAGGCAGGAACTGCAGACTGGATTTGGAGTTGCGCCTATGCATAGAGAAAATGTCCCAAATGGCACAGGGCCCTTGATATTTGGATGCCAGAGTTAGCAGAAGCTGGCAGTCAGCTGACTTCCAAGAGACCTTATCTACATTTCTTCTCTCTCTTCCTATCCCTGCCTGGATGGACTTGTCACGGGCCCCGTTCCGCTTCACAGGTGTATAAACTCCTTTACGCTTCCCGTCTGGTGGATTGTGGCCTGGCATCCCAGGCCTTGCATTACTGCGAGGCCATTGGCGCAGCTGTCCTGAGCCAGGGAGAGAGCAGTCACCCTGTGCTATTAGTGGAGCTCATCAAGGTGAGCATCTCAAAGGCTTTTCTGCAGGTGTTTTATCTTCAGTGCTCAGAGAAAGCCATTGTAGAACAGCTTAGACTCCACATTTCATCTTCTTTGAACATCCTGTAAAATTGGAGGCCACAGCTGTCTTTGACCACGTATGCATGCCCCGATGTGATAAGCAGAAGTCCAACGAGCACAAAAGACCGATGTGCTGGGTGGGGGCGGTGGGATTGAGGGGCTGGAAGCCAGGCGTGCGCTGCTCAGGAAATTCATTCTTGCATCTGCTTTTCTGGTACAGTAAAACTGTGTGCTACACTGAGCTGTTCTAATTACAAGAGCCGGGCTCAAAAAACATATTTTAGTGATTAAAACAGGAAATGATCCTTATTAAAATGCTTTTAAATGCATGGAATATTTTATCACATGTGGGATACATTTAAAAAAGAGAACAAAAACATATCATCCCTTAGTTCCTGGGGAAGAAAACAACAATCAGGCAAATAGTTATTCCAATTAATTGAAGAAAAATCCATTAGCCAGGGAGTCAGAAGGCAGCCTACCCTTACATTTTTGTTTTGCTTTAGATGAGGCCCTAGTGTTGAGTTCTGTGACCAATAAAATTTGTGGTGCTGAGCTCCCACACTCTGAAATTTCTGCCAACAGGCTGATGGTTCTAAGGAGCTCAGGGCCCCAGGATGAATGGTTTGGGGACATAATACTGGAATAAAGGATTGAAATACAAAGTAGCATCAGCCTCACCTGGGAAAATGTTAGAAATGCAGATTTCAGGCCCCACCCAGACCAACTGAATCAGAATTAACAGTTTTTTGATATGGAATCGAACTCAGGACCTTGTGCTTGGAAGACAAGCTTGGTGCCACTGAGCTAAATCCCCAGCCCAGAATTAGCATTTTTAAGGTCCAGGGTGATACCTAAGTAGACCTAAGTTTGAGAAGCCTTCTTACGTTGATGACTTTGCACAGGAATAAAGCTGAGTCTCCATTTCTCCTCATGTTTTGTTTAGTATTTAACACCATAATGAATTATTTCTTTATATCACAATTTTGGGAGGCTAGCTGCTGAATTTGCTATTTCTTAAATACTTTTGTAATTTAATCTTTCTCCTTCTCCCTTCCTGTAATTCCCCCTTCCGCCATTTCTTTCCACATCTCCTGTTACTCTCTTCTTGCCTCTCTCTGACTTCATGCTCCTGACTTGTTTGGAAACCTGGCGTAGCTTGCAGAGAGACTGAAGCTGTCAGATCCTCTGGTTTTAGAAAGGCGCCCTGGGGACAGGGACCTGGAGCCGGACTGGCTAGTACAAGTGCGGAGGCTGCACCAGGAGCTTGAGGTGAGCAGGGCAGAACTGAAGTCTGTGGGGTGGGCCTGCGTTTCTCTCACTGCCCTAGGGATAAAATAGGCACAGCAAGTCTAGCCCCCTCACGTCACCGTGAGGTCTCCTGTCACCCCGACACACAGGCTGTGTCCTGGGAAGGGCGGGACTCCGAGCGTCCCTCTGAGCCGCCTCTCTGCTGTGTAAACCTTTCCCTGTGTTTGCACGTGACATGGGGCGGGGCTTGTTCTTTGGAAGCGCTGGTGCACCCTTCTCTGCTGTCCCGGAGAATCTGCTTTCTGACCATCAAAGTTCCCTATCTCTCTTAGGAACAACGGATCACAGTGGACCTGTATCACTTTCATGTAATGTAGGGCAATTGCTTAAAAGACTTCCGGGCCTTTCTTTTTTGTTCTGACAATTGCAAAAGCTGCTGGCCATAATCAGAACAGTAATTGGAGCAGGGCCTCCCCCATTTTCTTTCTTCCATTCTGAAGAAAGGACAAAGTAGGTTTTTGAAAGCATACATGACCTTTTCTCCCTCTGCCTGCTGCAGGCTCCGAGGCCAGTTGAGTCCCTTCCATTTGCCGCTCACTCTGTGGGAGGATGCAGGACCCTGGGGCTGTGTCTCCCGGCCGTCAGCAGAGTGAGGAGACCTGGGAATGAGTGTCCCTTGCATGTGACCCCAGTCCTGAGCATTCCGCTGAGGTTCCCTCTCCTTGTCACTTCCACTGGAAGTTTCTCATTGGCTCAACGTTTCAACCATCCCATTCCCAGTCCTGTTTTTCTCTGTGTTGCTTCAAAGGCCTTTACTTTGCTTTGAATAGCAAAAGGCAACGGCAGACATCGGGGATCCTCATTCTGCTCGCTTAGATCTTTCCGGAGCCAAAGGAACAACAGGTATGCAAAATGGCGGACTGACACTCAAGATTGAACTAAAAGAGGTAAACTAATTTAGGAAACACCCACCCTGCCTTCCTCTTGGACACCTGACCCATGGGCCCAGGGACCTCCTTCCCTAGCTCCTGCTCACATGCCCAGGATGCTTCTAAATCCTCCAGCAGGAGAGTCTGCTTCACAGTCCAGGTGTTAGACACCTGAACATTTTACATGTTGCACTGCATTGTTAGCTAACCGTTTCATCTGTCTAGTACCTGTTCCTAGCTGGATAGGTTTCTTAGGCTAGAGATTATAGATTACATGTCTAGTATGGTAGTGTTGGAGTCACTGGGAGCTCTGAAGAGTTTTGAGTGATCAGTTGCCAAATGACTATGAAATAAATATGTCTCAGTGTGTTTTCACAGGATCCCTGCTCCTCCCCGGGGACACCTCTGGGTGGCCGGTCAGCAGGCCTTATGTCCCCAAGTTATCTCTGGGATGGGTTTGGCTGGGGCTCTCATCTCTTCCCTGTCAGCCATTCCCAGCCTTCTGCACTTCCTTCAGGGATGAGCAAAGGGAGGGGAGGGAGGGGGACCTTGGTTTCTGCTCCTAGCTGTGCTGTCCTAGAGCAGGGACTGTGGTGTTGCACTGTGATGACAGCCAGGCTGGGCATCTCTGGATGGCCGCTTCCTGGTGGCCCTGTCCGCTGCTGCTTGATGGAGCAGGGGGCTGACTGCCCACACCAGTCTTGGGACCTTAGTTTATCTTATCAGCAAGATCCTTTCCAGTGCAAATGCCCTCTGTTTCTTTTAAAGGGAAGTCATCATTTCTAAGGTCTGATTTGGGTTTTTAAAGATTTGTTTTTTATAGGACATGTTTGCAGTACATGGTGATGGTGTTTATTGTGGGGAGTTGGTACCCGTACATAGCACATATTAATTCTTTCTTCGTCCTCTTCCCCTCCCATCCTTCTCTGTTCCTTTTCTTGTTCCCCTTCCTATTTGCAAAAGCTCCATTTCCATTTTTAAACTGAAAGCTATATTTCAAATATTCAACTCTATAAAGAACTTCTTAAAGGAGAAAGAGGGCCGGGGATTCAGCTCAGTGGCACTGCTGCCTGCCTCACAAGCGCAAGGTCCCGAGTTCAATCCCTGGTAACAAAAAAAAAGGAAAGAACTTCAAAATTAAAAAGTGTAGAGTTAGACAGGAGATGGGATGGTAATTTTTACCTTCCTAACCATCAGCCTAAGTGGCTCAGAGATCATACTAGAAGTGAGGGAAATAATTCTGTAAACCGCAGTGAGAGGTGTTCCGGTCATTCTGTCTGCCTGCCTTCCTTCCTTCCTTCCTTCCTTCCTTCCTTCCTTCCTTCCTTCTTTCCTTCCTTCCTTCCTTCCTTCCTTCCTTCCTTCCTTCCCTCCCCCCCTCCCTTCTTTCCTTCGTCCCTCTCTTCTTCCTCTTCTCCCCCAGTTCCTTCTCTCCTCCTCTTCCTCCTTCCTCTCTCTGTCTCTCTCTCTCTGTCTCTGTCCTACTGGGAGTTGAACTTTGCCTGTCCTCATGTTAATGAAAGCTACCTGAAGCAGCCAGCTCTCATGACTGCTTTCCTCAGAGGACAAGAGCAGGAATGTTTCTATTGCCTTTAGTCTGGTGCCATTTCAGGTCTCACTTCTTCCTCTTTGCCCTTTGTCCTCAGACACTTTCTACCAGGATTTTTGGGGACATCAGGTCTCTGGGTCCCATTCAGCCCCATGGCCAACTCTGGAGCAGACAGGCCTAACCCAGCCTGGCCCCCTTACCCTGCAGCTGGGCCCCTACCCAGTGGATGGAGGTACCGGCCACACTGGGGCAGCAGTGCCTCCTTACTTGGTCCCTGAGACCTGCCCTCCAGGGACTGGTGATGGCCAGGGCAGTGTGGCAGTGATGGGGCCTCACGGAAGAGGGGCCTGGGAGGAGACACTGCCGACACACCCTGGCCCTGGTAAGACCTGCCAGCACACTGGGCATCTTGGCAGTGTGTCTTGGCAGGGAGGAGCGTGGGGAGGTGCCCCGGCCACTGGGAGGCTGGGCTGAGGCTGGTGAAGATGTGGATGGTGGATTTGCTCTTCCCGGAGGGCCTCCTCCTTGTCAGCATCTGCACCAGTGCTTTGCAAACACTCTAAGGAGCAGGACAAACGGGGCCACTGGTACCCTCTCCCTGGACTGCACAGTAGGCACCGTGGAGATGCGGAGAGAATGTGACCTCTGCCTCATCTGCACTGCAGCACAGGCCAGGTCTTCCTTCTGAGGGGGTCTTGCGCCTAAGAGCTTATAGTCAGGGACTGTGGCAGGGATCATGTTTCTGTCCTGCTCCTACATTTCTTCAGGCCCATCAGACCTTAGTCGGCATGAACTGAATGTAGGGGAGCAATGTGGGAACCATGCAGGAGGCTTAGCTCTTAGATATTCTGAGGTGAGGTCCTTGGCAAGCTGGAGGCTCACACAGAGGGAAGGTGGAGGATCCCTGTGATCGAGATCCACATTGCTCCGATTTCCCAGATTCCTCAGGAATGACCTTGATGTTGAGGGCACAGACTTGGGTTGACCAGCGTGTCCCAGGGTGGCTGGGATGGAGAGGTGCCATGCAGTCATTGACTGCGATCCTCTTGTGGGGATGGGCTCTGAGCTCCAGCTGCTTTGCAGCTTGGTTAGGAAAGCTGCTGTGTCCCCAGTAACCTACTTCTGAATGGTGGGAAAAGCACAAATTCTGATTTACTGTCCTGGTTTCTGTTTGGTGCCACAGGAGAGAACACAGTGTCTCAAGAAACCTCCCAGCATTATGATAGTCAGAATGTCATTCCCAAAACTCAGGTGAGAGGACAAGGCATAAAGGATGTGGATGTCCACTCTGATGATGCTCCTGCTGTTTCTCAACTGCCCCTGGTTTCTTGGCCTCATGCAAACTCCTCTGTCTTCCACACTGGGCCTTGTCTCTTCCTGTGCCTTTCCATACCAGATGCTGGGCGTTGGGAAAGGGGCTGTATTTGTGCTTATACTCAGTCCTGCCTGCCTCTGACCTGGGGAGGAGGGAGAAGCAGGGCTGGTTTGGTTTTGGTTTCATGGCTCTCCATCCCTCTGCAGCACCTCCTGTTGCACCAAATGCTTGTCTTACCCTGCCCAGTAGCAAATACTCTTGATATTTATTCCCTTATTTTAATCTTGCCTTGCTTTATGTCAAAGAAAGATTCATGATGCTGTAACAGTGGCTGCTTGTCTTTTCCTCTCAGTTAGGCTGAACGGTGTTGGAGGTGCCCGTGTCAAATTAATCATTCCACCTTGCTGTTGATTGAATGCAACTCTTCCCTCAACAGTGGGCAGCTTTGATCCCAAACTTAGGATGTTCTTCAGCTTTGCCTGATTAGAGGAATTACATCACGTGGCTTTTTCAAGTAGTGATAGAGCTCCAGGTCTTTAAAACTTTTTATGATTTACTGCTTTTCTTGTTCTACAGAAAAAAGTAGTACGATTGTTATAGAAAATGTAAAAATAAAGTATCATATAAAGAACCAAACTTCATAGTCCCACAGTCAAATATTTTGGTTCTTTCCATATATACATATGGTGTGATCAAAACATACAGTGAATGTTTAAATAAAAAAGTATTACAGTAAAAGACACATGCCCTCAATCCTCCTCAAAATCCTTCCCCTCTCTGAAAACACTTATCCTATCATTCTTGTCATTTTCTGAAGCAGTTCTGGAAGTCCTCTTTGTGTCTTCAGTTGCACTGTTGCACTACTTCAACGTCCTGAGTTGATTTAAAATATTTTTTTCATAGTCATTTTGACCTGAGGAAGAGCCAGAAATCTCATGGTGCCAGATCTAATGAATATGGTGGACAAAGATGTGCCGTAATGTTTTCATGAGCCTGCTTTGTCATCAGATAACCGTCAGCAACAGTCACTGTATTTTTTTTATCATACTTCATAAAGACACTCATGAGCAAGAACTTCCAGAACTGCTTCAGGAATTGGCAAGAATAATGGGATAAACATGTTCAAAGTGAGAGGGGGTATTTTGAGGGGGATAGATGGCTATATGTCTTTTACCATAACAAATTTTATTTGGACACAGTCATGTTTTGATCAGCCCTTGTACATGTATGTTTACAAATACATGTATACACATACATCTTTTGAAATTGTTAGAACATGTAAGCTTTATTTCCTATTTATAATTTACTGTGATATAAAAATGTTCTATGTCATTCATAAATAGGATTTTTAACATTGACAGGATAAAATCCCATTGTGTGACAGTGCTGGCATTCCTGCTCAGGGATTCGCTGGGCTCCTGCTGTGTACCAGGCACAGCGACAGGACTGGGGATGCCTCAGTGACCCAGACACAGCTGCCCTCATGTGCTCATCGGGTGGAGGCGACTAGAAACGAGCAACTCTACACAGAGGGATTTTACTTTAGAGGGGTCAGCGAGGGAGGTGCTCTGGGGAGGCTTTGCTCAGAGCTCAGCGTAGAGTGGGGAGAGCCAGGTGGCTGTCTGGGAAAGATTGTTCAAGGCAGAGGGAACTGCAAGAGCAGTGGCCCTGAAGTGGATGCACTTTGGCTAATGAGGGAAGAGCAAAGGAATCCCTGTGCCTAGGAAGTGGGTGCAGTGGGGAGAGTACTAAAGAAACAAGTCTCCTCTTTCTCTCTCCGTCCTCCTTACCACCCCTTCCCTTCCCTCCCTTCTGCCTTCCTCCCTTTCTCCCTCCCTCCCTCCTTCCTTTTACTGGCTCATATCTGATCCATCTGAGTGCATAAACTCTTATCTACATCTTGACTTATTCAAGTAGGAGAAATTCTTAGAACGATAGCCAGAATGTCAAGGTTTGAGCCTTTTTTGCCCTGTACTAACTATGTGGCCTTAGACAGATTGCTTTAACCTTTCTGTGCTTAGTTGTTCTGTAAGTCAAATGAGATGATAGTAATGGTCCCTGTCTCAGAGATCTGTTGTAGGGATTAAGTGAATCCCTATGTGAAAGTACTTAGATCGGAGTCTGGCATTTTATAATTATTATGCTATTAGAATAAAATAAAGCTTTTTCTGTATTTTTGCCATTTGTACCAATTCAGCTTTATGGAGAGTGTAAAATGTAAATATAACACAAAACAGCAACATGTTGTACAATTCTACTTCTGTGAGATACTTAGAGGAGGAAACTGGTAGGGACAGGAAGTAGAATAGAATGGCTGTAACCAGGGCAGGATCAGGGGAAGTGGGTAGTTAGAGTTTGATGAGCACAGAGCTTCTGTCTGGGACAATGAAGAAGTGCTGGAGGTGACAGGTGCTGACAGCACTACGATATTTTGAGTATATGTAACTCTCCCCTGCCAAGTCGCACACCTCAAAGTGGTTGTAGCAGTAAGCTTTGTGCAATGCATATTGTACCACAGCAAGAAGAAAGCTGCTATGAGAGATGTGGGATTTTCGGCTCCCCTCGGGTGGGGGGCACTGCTCACAGTTGCTCTTGAATGAATCCGTCAGGAAATAAGCTCTAAGATGAGTTAGGTTCACTGGTTGCTACCTTCTGTTTTTTGGGATCAGGCAGTCTCTCCAGGGCCTCTTCATCTCCAGCAGTAGCTTACATACCCCCTGCTCCAGGCCTTGTAACAGTTCTGGAAACTGTTTCTGGAGAGGCAGCATAGCAAACATAACTTTCTGAGGATGGATAACTTGAAGCCTGGGTTTGGGACTGGCTTTGGCCTGCAACCTTTGGCAAGTCATTTTTCATGGATAAGCCTTACTTCTCCCTCACTGAGATACGATCCCCTAAGAGTACCCCCAGATTTACTGAGTGGTCAGATGGAAGGAACATGTGCTTTGTAATCTGTCAAGTGCTATGTGAATGTTAGTTCTTTTTAACATTCCAGGTACCACAGGCTCCCAGAGCACGAAGTTTCTCTGAGAATTCTGGTGTCTCAGTCCAGGAGGTTGAGGAAGAGTCCTCTGATGAAGCAGATAAAAAACAGTCCTCAAATGTTTCGCAGAGAGAAAAGTCAGGAGACCTGAAAGACAACACAAAGGTGGAGGCCCTTGTTCTTTTCTTCCTTCCCCTTCCTTCCTTCCTTCCCCTTCCTAAATGGTGGAGCCGAATTGGGAGTCTCCACTTTGGTTGTGTCTTCTTCCCTCCATTCTCCTCGTCTCTTACTGGGGTAGGCTAATCTCACATTCAGTGGGGAGAAGCAAACCTACAGGCCATACAAATTCCCCTTTCTCTGCAGAGCTCAGGATTTGGCTGGTTCAGCTGGTTTAGATTGAAGCCCTCCAACAGCCTGTCTGAAGAAGACTCGTTATCGGACTGTACAGACTCTGAGGTAACATTGTGGGAGGAGAGGAGTGCCCTCCCTTGCAGGCTTTCAGAGGAAATCTCCCCAGCACCCAGTAATGCTAGGCTGCCAGCTCTGCCCCACCCTGAATGAAACAGAAGCTTAATGTTGGCAGATTGTGAGAAATAAATTTGTTCTGTGTGTGAGGGCAGATTTTGAAGGTCTGAAGAGGCTAGGAACAGAGCTAATTTGGATTATTGAGCAGAGGAATGGCAGGAGGAAAATGGCGTTTTAGGGGGAGAACCCTAGGGACAGTTGTGGGTGGAGGCCACCATTATGGGTGTAGGAATACACAGAGGTGGGCATGAAGTTGTTAACCACCAGTGTCCCCTATGCTGCCTTTTTTCTTTCCTCTACAAAGCAGGCTTCGCCTCCCTGCCAGACCAGCCCTGGCCTCTCACCGACACTGCCTCTTGAGTCCCTATCCCTGCCAGGTACTAGCACTTCCTCCAGGGACACAGGTAGCCATAACTTCATGTCCTCTGGCTGGTCCTAGGGCTGGGTGGTACCTTCTAGGGGTGGGCCCTGCTCAACACTGAGCAGAGAAAACTGTTCTGACTCATTGCCTTGTAGGTGGCGATGAGCTCCCAGAATCCCTGTCCAGTGGGGGCACAGCTGAGAGTACTGGGATTGGAGGATTCTCAGGGCTCGAGGTGAGCAGCCCATAGACTGGGGCCTAGAATTCCCTCAGGTGCGTGTGTGTGTGTGTGTGTGTGTGTGTGTGTGTGTGTGAAGACTGAGCTTCCTTTCACTGTGGCCTGGAGATGCTGCCCTGGGAGTGGCTACCTCAAGGGGAATATGGGTAAAATTTCTGTTTCTAGTTTTCTCAGGTTGCCATGACAGAGTCCCACAGACCAGAGAGCTTAAACAACAGAAATTTATTTTCTCACAATTCAAGACTAGAAGTATAAGAACAAGTTTCATCTGAGGCCTCTCTTCTTGGCTTGTGGTTGGCTGTCTTCTCCCTGTGTCTTCACATGGGTTTTCCTCTGTGTGTATCTGTGTTCAGCTTTCATGTCTGGTCAGGCACCCACCTGAGCTCTTTAAGGATATGGCCTTCAAATAGAATCACATTTCAATGTACCGGGGGTGGATCTTCACCAGATGAAGTTCCAGAGGGACACAGTTCAGCCTGCACAGCTCCCTTAGGTCCACTTCTTTCCCTGTCTCAGTGGGAGCTGGGGTTCTCTGGTGCCCTTGACTGGGACTGTGATAAATTCTTCACAAGTTGTCCACATAGGTAGGATCTCATTCCTATGGCTAGGAAAGCATTTTTATTTTATTTATTTATGATCTGGGGATCAAATTCAGGACCTTGCACTTGTGAGGCAGGTGGCAGAACTACTGAGCTAAATCCCCAGCCCATATTTTTATTTCTTGAAGCCTGGTTTGAACTCTTGTAGTATTTTAGGATGTCTAAAGAGGCTGGTATTACCTTTTATGATGGTATCAATCTGATGTATTGTGGCTTTTCCTTCTCACTTACTTCAGGTGTGGCAGCCCCGAGCCTCTGCTTTGCCACCCCAGGCCCAGGTATTCATTGTGCCCTCTTGAGCCATGTTGGTTTGGTGGAGATTTCCTGAGTTTTATAAGAAATCCTTTTCATGCACTTCTCTTGTCCAAAGTTGATGTTCAGGGAAGACCTGGGCATATAGGAAGTAGCCACTGACTGGACTTTCTATTATTTCCATCACAGAGTGTTTCTTCTGAGCTCTACTCCAAACCTGGTGTCCTGCCTCCTCCTCCCGCCTTGCAAGGAGCAGTTCCGCTCTACAACCCATCTCAGATTCCTCAGGTAAGGGTGCCCTCAGGGGAGGGGGATGAAGGAGTGAGCACAGAGCTTCAGTGAGGAGACTGGATTGATAGCCCAGCTTACCACTTACTGCATGTAAGTTTTTGGACAGAGACTTAACCTTTGTAACCCTCAGTTTCTTCATTTGTAACATGAGTTATTAGTAGCTACTTCACAGATATGTATGTGAAGTGCTTTGCACCTAGAACATGCTCAATAGATAAGCCTGATGTAAACATTTCTCTTGATCTTAACTAGGTCTTGAGATGCAAGAGATACAGTTGGTGTTGGTATCAGTAGTGGGAATACAGAGTTCCTATGTCCTGGGGTATGGGGATCACTGCAAACTTTGAGAGAAGTCAAGCTTCCTGCTCCTCAGTGACTTGGGGTAGGCTTAGCCCTCCTGATATATCCCTTGGGCTCCCTTCTTTATAAAGTCAATTTCTTTTCAGCGTAGTTAAGAGGTGAAGGTTGATCATTAGAACTTAACCTTGGGAAATCACCTGCAGCTGGAGCATTTTAGACAGATGCTCAGTTTGCTTTCGCTTAATCCAACTAGTCATCCTGGGGCAGAGTCACTCCGGGGACTGTTCTCTAGTGCAGCGTTTCCTTTTCTTTCCAGCTACCAGCTACCAGCCTGAATCGACCAAACCGCCTAGCTCAGCGCCGCTATCCAACCCAGCCATGCTGAGAACAACCACCCATTCCAGGCTTGTCTCCTGAAAGCACAGTTTCTATGTTGCTCTCTTTTTCTCAGTCTCCCATCCCCTCTCTCATATTTAGGCCCTAAAGAGGGTTTTACTAGTCTGCTGCCTCCACTGGATATTCAGAAGGCGAGGGAATAGGACCTCTCACGACATAGCTGAAGCTTAACTTCAGAATGATGGAATTTATTGCATCAGATGGAAAATTTGAGAACAATAGCAGTCTGGAAGTGAGCAGAGTGTCATGACCACAGTACTTGAGATGGTGGCGTGAGAGCCTCAAGATCCCCATGCCTAGAATCAGTGATGATGCCACCAGTCTCTGTAACAGGGGCTCAGGGCAATATTCCAGACTAACTTTGACTTCCTTTTCAGTCTCAGTTACAGCTGTAGTTAGCCAAGTTTTCATACTGAAATTCAATCATTGCTGCCCTTCAATGATTCTCTCTTCAATGACATTTCAGCAATTTTCTTCCTCATTCTGGTTTTGTGCACATTTTCTGTGCAGTTCAGATTAATTATATTTTTCTCACTTTCTTAGCTGGTCCTATTTTTTCACATTCTGGCATCTGGCTATCAAGTTAGATTGCTGTAGGCATCATATTGTCATGGTAACTACTGAACCTAATGATGCAGATGGATGGAACATCAGTGTAATAAATGGTGGAAAACATTTCCTAAAAATTCTTCCTTTCCATAAAAAGGGAGGGATGAGTGCTGGGTGTTGTTAATACCTCCCTTTCTACCTCAGGCCTTTGCAAATTGATGTTCAGAGGGTTACTGGAGCCAGAGGGAGGAGGGGGTTATCTTGGAAATTTCCATTTCTCCTTGCAAACCCAAAATAGGAATGATTCTTGCTGTTTGTCAGATTTGCTGAAAATTGCTCCGCACAAAGAACACTTTTTGTATGTGTAATTGTACATACAGGTTTTGTACTTTAATGTACTATGGTTCTGATGTTGGTAGCGATTAAATCTAGATAATTTTATAGCAAATGCATGTCTCTGGGTGATTTTTTGCACAGGGAGAAAATCACATTGATGGTCTCTTCCCTGAAGTCATTCTAATAATGGTTTTATTGTGTGAGCAGGTGTGAATAGCTGGAAAAAGCGCTTTGTTAATGAAGAATCTGGGGACTGGTTCTCTTAACTTCTGAGTCTATTTGAATGCTATCATTTTTTGCACTTAAAATAAAAACCATAGACAAAAGCTCCTCTGACACAAACCTGTCACTCTACTAACTAAATGCTGCATATTCTGTTCCCTAAAAAGTTTTTTCACCTCTTAGATTAAATTAGAAAATGCATGCATAAGTGTTTTGCACCTAGCAGGCCCTCAGTAAATGCAGTTCCTTTTTCTTTCTTGGTTTTAGTATGCTGACACCCAGTGGCAGTACTATGACAGTAGAAGATGAGCTTTACAGGAGCCAAACTGTCTAGATGTAAATCCTACTAGTGCACAGCCCAACCTTATTACCTTGGGCAAGGTTACCTCAGGAGGATGAAAATAAAAATAATAATACCTACCTTATAGGGAGATTGAAAGACTTCAATGAATCATGGTCTTAGAAAATGGACCAGTGCATACTAACAACTTTATAAGTGCTTTAAATTATTAGTGTGTAATCGAATAAGTAAAATCTTGCCTCTCTTGCCTACCAAGTTTAACCGAAGATTTTTCATTTTTTGATATAACCATATAATGGGAATAATAATTTAAAGGTACTTCTAAGATATGTCCTTATTGCTAAGCCAGTTTCTCCTCCTACATTCCATCTGCCAGCAATGCTAAGTCATGAGGTACAGTTCCCCTGGGAACAATGACACTGGGGAAGTCCTTCCAATAAAAAGGAGCACTGCAGAGGGGGAGCATGAAGACCAAAGAGGAAGGTGCAGGCACCAGACCCTGTGTTCAAATATCCTCCTCCTGTAGGGATTACTCTTGGAAAGCACTGAAGCTTATATACTTCCCAGGCAAAGCAATACACACAGTGAGCACATTTTCCAAGGAGGGAAAAGCAGGTTGTTTTACATATCAGAGACGGGGGAGGTTAATGCTAATTCACAGTGGAATGTTTTTATTCTGGCAAAGTCAGAATATGCCCACTAATCTGTACATGCTTGGCTAAAACAAATCCCACTGCCCATTGGTCAGGAAAGTTGGTCCAGAAAGGGGCTGATGAACTGGGGTCACTCAAAGTTTGTCATTATCAGGTGTGTTGCTAAAGGCCATTTTATAGCTTCATGATCATTTTATAGCTTCAGCTGGTTAAAACCAGTTTTGGTGAAATAAAGTGAGTACAGGAAGCTTGGAGAACAGAGCAGGATGGGAAAGTATTGCGGTTAGAAGCCTGCATACTGGGGGAGGTTTCGAGGCTGGGGGGAAGCTGACTTTGACTTGGTGACTTGTCCAGTCTGTCTTGGGGATAACCAGGTCCGCGATTTGAGGCAGAGCCTTTGGACCCTGTATCCTGGTGTAGTGTGGACTCCAGAAAGGAATAATTGCATGGTTTCCTCAGAGGCCAGGTGGTGCCAGTGGTGCCCTAAAGACAACAGGTCAAGTCTGGGCCTGACCAGCCCCAGCGAGGGACAGGGGACATCATGTGTCTCAGAGGCCCTCTGTCCCATCACCATGAGCCATCTGTGAGGAGAATGGACAGAATTCTCTCTCTTTAAACAAAGGAATGACCCAAAGATGCTCCTTAAAAGGGAAGTATACTATTGTCAAGATTTTGTTTTCCCTGCTCAGTAGAGTACAAACTTGAAGGAAAAATAGATCATTGCTGCAGAATAAAGAAGCCACATTTCCCTTGCAGAACTGAATGATAGTGTGCAAAGTTATGATTCTGCTATATACATATAATTTAATATTTATATGAAAACATTTAAACTTAATGTTCAATAATTTGAAAGAGCACAAATTGTTAAATTCCATTTAAGTGTCTTTATCGCATATCTCCATTCCAGCCCTCTGTCTAATCTTCTTATATGGCTATAAAACTGTGAATGAGCCCAGATTCCTCAGTCACCTACACATACTCCCTTTTCAGTCCTGACTCAGGCTTCTGGTTGCCCAACATCAAAGCTTTCAGATTTCCCCCCCACTAGAAAGCTGCTTTCATTTTGGTTTCTTCCTCTGAGCAACCAAGAGGAAGAGAAAGAGACTACATCTACTTTCACACTAAAATTGGGATTTTTCTACTGAGGTAATATACAAAACGTTCTTCTGCTTGAAAAGTATAATAGGTGTATACTCTTTCTCTCTATTCACATGACTTTTTCTGACTCTCCTTCCTCACAGTAGAGTGACTTTTTCCCTCTTCAGTTTTCTGTTTTAAGCTGGAAATTGCAATAGAGGCATGTGATCTATAAGCAATAGCAATAGAACAGAGGTACTCAGCTGAGGGTGCTCCTATACAGGCCCTCAATGCCTGCTTGCTCTCATAAAGCACTTAGGCCTGGCCATCATTCATTCAGGTCCTTCAGAAATGGTTTCTTAATGAGATTTAAAGTTATTTTGAACAAAGACTAATAGCATGTTAAAATGTTTTCATCACGATCTCACTAAGTGGAGGAATCTGAGTCTCATACTTTCATCCTTTTTGGGTATTTATATCCCTAGGTAATAGAATTTTTCTGGAACAAGGTCAATAGCAGCCTAATTTAACTTGACTGACTGGTGAAAAGTGCCTGTTGTTTTAACATGAGATGCTTTCCTGGTCCTTACTTGTCTGAGGGAGAGCCTACCCAACTTTTTAAGAATCTTAAAGGGGGGTTCATGGCTCTCCTTGAGGTTTCAGCCTTGGTGTCCATGCTCTCCCAACATAAGGAAGTGATTTCAAGTACGTTATACCCAAATTGCTCGTGTGCTTCTCTAAGACTCTCACCTGGACCCCAGCGGAGATGGAAAATGGCTGCCCACCTCCATTTGTACCTGGACCTCTGTCACATTCTAGAAGGCCACTGACTCATGGCCCACCTTAAGTAGTGAAGTCTTACAAAATGGGCTTTTCTTCATGAGAATCTTGGATTAAATAAGATGCACCCTTGGAATCTCTTGGTAGCTACAGTGGTCATATATTCTAAATTTCAACAATAATAATAATAATAATAATAACAACAGTAATAACATTTGTTGAGGCCTTTGTGTCAGGCACTGTGGTGTGTATTTTATGAAGGATATAGTATTGTTATTCCAACATAATATGTGAATTAAATAAAAACTGAAGAAAGAAGTTAAGTATCTTGCCCATGTTTCTGTAGCTGGGAAGGATGGAGCTGGAATTGAAATCCAGGTAGTCTGACCTCAGGATCTGGGCTTTTAGCCACATTGTCTCCAGACTATGCACATGGGGCTCATTTATGAATTTTAATAGAATGGTGCATCAGGTATTATGCTTTTCTCAACAAAGATCAGACTTAGATTTAGTTATAACACAATTCCTTCTTGCTTCCCACTGTGCTTTATGGGATTCGGAGGCAGGAAAAGACTGAATATTGCAGTCAGTGGATTGCTTCTGAAAGAAGGGGTCAAGATAGGGAGTGATTTGGGGGTTGTGCACACACGGGCGCCATCTCACAAGAGAACCCTCTGTATTAGTTTGTGCCCCCCCCCCCCCCGCTGTAACAAAATATTAGAGCTGGGTAATGTAGAAAGAAGTTTATTTAGTTCAGTTTTGGAGACTGAAAGTCTAAAATTGGGTGGCTCCATTTGGCCTCTGGTGAGGGTCCCCTTGACTGGGTCACCATATGGCAGATGGCATCACACTACAGTGTATGTAACAGGGAGCGCTCACACGGCAAAACAGGAATCCAGGGAGGGAGACCAGTCTTGTTCTTCTGTAACAACTCATAAACAGGGTCCCATGAGAACTGCCTTAATTTCTTCCCAGGACAGCACCCCCCAGGACCTAACCACTTCTCACTCTGTCCCACCTCTTAAAGGTTCCACCACCCCTCACCACACTGGGGACCAATTTCCAACACACAAATCCTTGGGGCACCCACTTGAACCATATCCAAACCATAGCAGTGTTCACAAAGTCTTACTTACCAGACTAGGATGTAACAGATCCTGTGTCAATAAATACAAACTTTAAGCCAGAAAATTTTAGCCAATGTTTATGTTTCCCAAAACTGGGCCCTTGAAAATCAAAGGCCTTGAGTTTTAAGAGCCATTTTGGAAGGCAAGAGACAACCACTGCCTTTTAAATTGTTTTTGTGTTCTGTAAGTGTGGTTTGGGATTGAAGAAACTTCATTGTCCTGGAATGAAAATAATTTGAGTTTTGGAGTTCAAGACTTTATTTCTACTTCTTTGTTATTTGGATAAATACTCATGAATTGAGAATAAATCAGAACCTCACAGTCATGACCCCTCCGTGTAATTTTTCAACTTCTTTTCTTTGCAAGTAAGAAAAACAACAAATCTACCCAAAGCCTACAGATGAAATTAGTCATCCTCATAATGCACATCCATTAAAACCTGGAGTCAGAATCCAGCCACATTTGCTTTGTGGAACAAATATATTACTGATGAGTTGTAGATATACTGAGATTTGCTAAATCAAATTAATTTTTGAATGCACTAGGATAGCTTGCAATTTAAAGGTAATTGATGTCAAATCCCTAAAATAAATAATTATTTGCACAGAAAACAATCACTCCCAATTTATCACTTTGTAGATGCTGACTTATAGTCTTGGGGAAGATATAGTAGGAATGAGAAGACTTTTAGTTTCAGACTCATGTCTCCCACTAGCTAAACTTGTCACTTTACATAAATTAGTTTAATGTCTCAGTGCCTTTAAACTTCTCAGCTAAATACTTGGGATCTGCTCATCCAATGAACATTTATTAAGGGTCTCCCATGGGACAAATAAGTGGGAACAAAGTCTTAACTCTCAAAGACCTCCCAGACAAATTGAGAAGCTAAGGAGAGACCAGGTTCAAACCACAGTTATTCTTGCTCCAGGTGCTGTTGGTGGTTCATGGTGACCCTAACTCTGCCTGTCAGGAAGGGAGGTTATCTGGAAGGTTCTAGACAAGGAAACTTTACCAGTGGAAAAGCAATGGCCTGGGGAGATTAATCAATTTTCCTAAATTGGCTTCATTAAAGTTCTGATTTCCAGGCTGATTGTCTTTTCCTTTGAACATAAGAACATAACTTAAAATGTGAAGCTTTTTAAATTATAATATTGAGGGTATATTTGTAGTAACAAAAGAATCAGTAGTAGTAACAAAAGAATCAGTAATAGTAACTAAGATTTTGTACCAGGCGCTGTAGTACAAGTTGACGTATTTTTACTTCAGGCACCTAGTTTAAATAACATTTTCAAATTGGACGGCTGACATAGAGCCAGGAATGCATCATGCCTGTGCTTTACAGATGTTGTCTTCCTTCATCCATAGAACAACTTGAAAAGTTGTAGCCTCACTTTACAGATGAGGAAGTGGAGGCAGAAGGGTTTAAGTTTTCTCCCAAGGACTTCGGGTTGCCCTGTGCAGTCTGCTCTTGAGCCTGCACCTTCACGTCTTGTTCATTTAGATTAAAGCGGCTGCACTTGTTTTGTGAGCCCAAGCAGGACCAGTGACTTTCATCCTTAGTCTTGCAGGGTCTCAGCTAGTATTGCACTTTGTGCCCCTCTTTCCCTTCTGTTACTGAGGGGTACTACTTATTACTCCAAGGGTTTTTTTGAGTAAGTTTATTTTTTCTGATAGACTTGTGACTTCCCAGGGACAGGAAAGATATCGTGACTCATTTAGTGTTGTATTTCCAACACCTTGCACAGTGCCTATGCTTCATAAGGACTTGGTATTCAAAATTATTCAAAATGGATAATTTCCCCAAATAAAAACCTTATAACTATTTGTAAAAAAATCCATAAGTTATATCTGGTCTAGAGACAATCATTGACTTTCAAATTGTTTTTGTGTCCTATCATCATAGTTTGGGATCATGAAGAAACTTCATTGTCCTGGAATGAAAATAATTTGAGTTTTGTCACTCAGGATTTTATTTCTGCTTCTTTAGTATTTGGATAAATGCTCATGAATTAAGAACAAATCAGAGCCTTACAGTCATGACCCCTCTGTGTAATTTTTCAACTTCTTTTCTTTGCAAACAAGGAAAAACAAGCCCACCCCAAAGCCCACACCCTGTTGTTACAGTTTGATCTGTCTGCATCTTTAGAAGCTGACTTAAGTCTTGGAGTACAGTAAGTGCTCAGATAAGATCCGGGAATGAATGAATGTTTAAGTAAGGGAAACCAGGACTACAAATGAGGGGACCATCAGCTTCTGAGAAACTGTGCCACGAGAGACGAGAGAGGTCTGGAGAAGAGGGAGCCTAGTGCTGGCTACAGAAGCCTCGCCGCTGGCAGCCTTCATGGCCGGAGATGGAAATGCCCTGTTTAAGGTCAAGATGAGTGACGTCCTGGATTTACAGCTCCTCATTTGACCCTTCAGTGTGCTTATTTCTGGCAGAAGCGGCTCTTGATTTTAAAAGGTACTTTACCCCTTTACAACCTGTGTAATTGCTATTGGAATGCTTTGCCCTGTAGTGTCTTAATTAGGTCAAATTTTATACCAAGGGCTTTAACTTAATGTTATATTTGCAATTCTAAGGCCCCCCCCTTCAGTGCTGCCAGGAAGCATTTATATGTTCTAGAGGGGGCACACAGACAGGAACTTGTTTAGGCACTCCTGTGGGTGAGAGAAGGGACAGAGTTCAGAGGAAATGGGCCAAAAGAGATGGGTATGCCCGGAGAATCCTCTAAATGCTTCTACAAAGAAAATGCTGTCTCTAAGTTACCATGTTGCAAGCATTGCTTGGATAATTGCAGGATCCAGTGTTCTTCACATTTCATTAAATTATATAGTTTTGTTCTCCGTGTGTTAAACCCCCCACCTTTCTATTATCTGCCTTTTATCAAGCAGAACATGCCTCTAGAGTTACACCCTTCCTCTCCTCACCATGGCACCCCAATAATGAGAAGTAAGCCATCTGCCAAGAAAACAAACATAACATAAAAATTACACAAATACATAATCCTCAATCCAGAAGGAAGGGAGCCGCTGCCACCTGGTAGCACACAGAACGCCGTGGAGTATTTATCTAGCAGAGAAGGTTTCCTCAACAGGCTGTGATTCCTCTGTTGGGGAGGGTCAAGGGAAGGTCAGGAATGAAAATCAACTCCACAGGCCCAGGCTAAATAGGGACCTGGTGGAAATCAATTTGGTGAGCTCAGTGCTGTTGTGCCTGGTCACAGGGTGCATTCGGGAGGCACCTGAGAAGGCCATCAATCTGTTACCAGGAAGGGGGGAAGCGGGGGCGGGAGGGGAAGAGGTAATTGGAATTGAGTTTTGGAGATACTTTTCCTCTAGCTGGAAGTGTAGCTGGAGAAACAGGAAGCAGAGTCTCCTTGAGGTAAGGTAAATTGGGTCTTTTCTCTGGCATTGGGGAGTATTACCTGTGAGGTTTGAAAAATCTGCTCTGGCTGCCACATTTCAGACAAACTTCTTTTCTAACTCTAGGTGTGGTCATGGATTAGGATGAAGCTTTACTTCCCTTGCTTAAGAAAGGTACTTTCTGTTGCCTCAATGGACTCAGGACTTGTGCTGATTTACATGTAACTCGTATCTAATTTCTTAATCAACTGCTCTATGAGTGAGCAGAAATTCAGTTGTTAGAAATTGTGCAGTGCATGGAAACTGGTCAGTCTTCTGTTTTACTGACAAATTGGAATATTAAAACAACTACACCAGGCGACATGATAGTTCTTTCTAAGAAAAAGGCAGTTTACAGAGCTGTGTAAATCAGAAGTGTCCTTAAACTGTGGTTGGGGAGACCTGATATGGCAAAATGTCTACCAATAAAGTGAAGAATTACAGCAAATCACCCAGTTTACACACTTGGGGGAGGCTTCGTTTCTCATGCCATGTTGGAGAGCCAATAAAGCTTGCAAATGTGATGGGAGTCACTATTTCTGCCTCTGTGCAGCTGTTTATCAGCAGCTTTTTAACACATTTTCCCGTATTAATGAGGTGGCATAGCAGTTCCAGAATTAGAACAAGGATGCATCATTGTCTGCCTTATCTGAAGATGTGCCTGCTGTCAGTGACATTATCAGGGGACATACAATGAAAGACGAACATTTTGGTGGGTGCAGCATGTACTACCCCATCTTTCTTGTGCTCCCCACCCTGCACTGGACCATCATCCCTGGACCTGATGTCGCTCTTTGCAGGTCTTAATGAAACTTGGTCTCCTTGTTTTATAATTTGTGTGTCACTAGGGTTTGGAAATTCCTTTTTGTTTCCCCAATTTCTAATATAGTCTTTGGTATTCTTTAGGTACTTCTTAAATATTGAATGACTAGTTGACTGAATGCATGAGTAGATAGGCAGATGGACGCAAGTATTCTCCCTGAGACTGCCCTCCCCAGGCGCCGACTGCCTGTCACTGTGGCCTCAGGGTTTGCAGGTCTGTGTCATGGCTTTCTTTGCATCTGCAGGCACAGGTCAAGTGGCAGATGGGGCCTTGTGCACTGAGAGGCTTGAGGAGGCACAGTGGTGGGCACATGTGGTGCACAGCCTGATGGGTTCCCAGCGCAGGTCTGCCACGGTGCCAGAGCAGTCACGTTTTCACCAGTCTGCAAGGGAATGAGAAAAACAAGGAAAACAGTGAGTTTTTGAGAGCGAAATGTGTTCTCTGTTAGAATTTCAAGATTAACTCCTACTTTATTTGATATTAAAATTCCATTTCTTTCTTTTTTTTTTTAAATTTTTTTTTGGGGAGGTACCGGGGATCGAAATCGGGTCCTTGTGGTTGCACAGCAGGCAGCGAAACCACTGAGCTAAATCCCCGGCCCTAAAATTCCATTTCTATAATAAAATGATGGTAATAGTAGATGACGGCTTCTTTTTTCCCTCCTCAAATGCCCTTACTTGACAAAACATTAATTCCTAAAATTTTCAATGCCTGAATCTTTCACATTTTTGGGGAAGGTGAGGAAGAGATTTTATTGGTCTGTGAAATCCCAAAGTTTGGAACCAGTGATTGAACTTAGGTCTCTTCTTCTGAGAAAAATTGACTGAAATCACCAGTGGGCCTTATGTGAGACACTGGGCTGCCTAAAGAATTAGCTCATTTCAGTAAATAAGTTACTTCAAGTCTTGCAAGCACCATCTCTCCCCCTATATTTTGGAGACAGGGTCTCGCTATGTAGTCCAGGCTGCCTTTGAACTCACTATGTAGCCCAGGCTGACCTCCAACTCATGGCGATCCTCTTGCTTCAGCCTCCCGAGGGCTGGGATTACAGGCGTGTGTCACCACACTTGGCTCACAAGTCCTTTTTTTTTTGTGCTGTCTCTTCAGAACAGGGATTTGGGCTGCATTCCAGGCTTATAGTAACACCTTCTCTGAGGTACAGGAGAATTTTTAAGACCAGGTCAATCAGAATAACAGAGGAACCCAGGGGCCAGATTTACCAAGGTCTAATGTGTTCTCCTCTGCTAAGCATGTACTTGCTGTTCTGTCTGTATGTACAACATATGTGTGCTCTGTGTACTGCAAAGTGCTTCTCTGAACTATGAGAATTCCAGTTGTTGTAAACTGGGGGAGAAAAAGCCTCCTCAGAGACACACCTCCTCAGTCGTGTGTCCTTTCCGGAGTTCCTACAGCCCCTCTTGTCTATGCCACACAGAGTAGCACCTGGCCTTTACATTGTCTTGTGTCCTCTGTTTACTTTTCACAAGTCTTACCTCCCTAAAAGATTGAGAATACTCCATTCAAATCTAGTTGTGAATTGATCCAATTTTCTGGAACGCTCAATCTTTTCCAGAGCCCGTTGGCCCACACTGGATTCCCAGATGTTGGAAAGATCTGAGATTCTGTCAAGCTGGTTTCCAGCCTGGGCTGGATGCACGGCAGTTTATGAGTGAGCCCTGCCCTGCACAGCACCTACACCCTGTTGCTAAAAAAGAATAACAACACTGACCTGCCTCGCTGAGAGAGGTGTCATATGCATTAACTGTCTAAAAATGCTAATGTTCTTTGAGAATATAAATGTGAAACATTATCATTATGGTTAATACCAGTCTTTGGTTTAAAAACATTTTTTTTCCTCCAAGAGGAGAGGCAGAAAGATTATTTAAAGAAATAATGAATAGAGGGCTACGGTTTGTTCTTAATTTATGACTGACTTTGATCAGAATGGCATAAGCAGTGGGGTGCAATCTTAAAATCCTGAAGGGAATTATTTCTACTTCAGGGCATGAAATCTTCTCTTTCTCCTCCTCCCACTGGGGCAAAACAGAAAGAAAGAAAAATCTAGGAAAGTTAATGCTCTTAAAACATAAGATGATTTCTATATGTCAGGTCTGAAAATAGTATTTCCTAAAGCTACTGCTACCAAAGAGGCCACACTGAGGAGCAGAGAAGGGCTCAGGATGGCCTCAGCTTCTGACATCTTGCCACAAACAGGCCAGAGTGGGGCAGGGAGTAGGCACTGAAGTGATTTTTTTGAAAGTCCCTATTTGTTTGTTGGAATATCTTGAGGAGCTAAAATCTTCGTCTACTTGTGCTAGATACTGTTGGTTCTGCAGCCGCAATAGCTTTCCTCTGCTCCTGTCACAAATTACAACAAACCTAGGACTTAGAAGAGCATGTATTGCTGGGCATTTAGCTCAGTGGAACTGCACCTGCCTTGCAGGTGCAAGATCCTGAGTTTGATCCCCGGTACCGGAAGAAAAAATAAAAGACCATGTATTTATTATCTTACTTTCCTGGAGGCCAGAAGTCTGAAATCAGTCTTGAGGGCCTAAAATCAAGGTGTCAGCAGTGCTGGTTTCTATGGCACTCTCCGAGATGGGACAAACCTTCCCTGCCTTTCCCGCCTTCTGGGACTGGTGCACACGTCACTCCAGTCTCCTCTTCTGTCACCACAGAAAGCAGTGCTTTCTGCTTTCTTCTCTTCTCTTTCAAATCTCCCTCTGCTCCTTTTTATAGGAGTTTTAAATTTTTATTGTATTGGACCAATCTGGATAACACAGGATAATCTCCTCATCTCAAGATCCTTTAATTTAATTACATCTGTAAGCTCCTTTGTCATTTAAGGTAACATTCATAGGTTGCAGGGATTAGGGATAGGATTCCTCTCAGGACTATTATTCAGCCTGACACAATAAGCAACACAATAAGCCTCCCCTTTTTTCTTTCTAACACAGCCTGATTTTATTCAGGCATTCCAAGGCCCTAGTGTTAGGGACTGTGGTCCCTCCCAACGCCAGCGGCAATCTTGACTGCCTTGGGGTTTTCATAGCTATTCTGTTCCTCTTACTGGGCATTGACTAGGAGCGAGCATGGGACTCAACTCTGCCAATGGCACAGGAGAAATCTGCTGTATAAGTTATGGGCAGCTTCCTTCACTCTTAAGTTGGAAAAATGGAAACAACCTGGGTCCCTGATGTCACTGTTGAGCTATTAATTTACTCTCCCTAGCACCTTCCCCTTCATGTTTGTTATACAGACAAGGGATCCTCTTGGTGAGCTATCCCTTTGAATTGAATCCCATGACTTTAACTACTGAAGACCACTCGATTATGTTTGTACGTGTAAATATGCTTGCCCAAGATCTGCGCTAGCTCTAGACCTTATCAATGGCTACCTTGGATCCTTAGTAAACCTTCTTGTGGACTCTAGCAACTCACCTTCATGATCCAGATGTACAAAAATGCAGTGTGCAAAAAAAAAAAAAATGCAGTGTGCCACTTCTCCGCTTATTCACCCCACATATTTATCGAGCATTGACTATGAGCCAGCTACTGTCCTCATCACTAAGATTCATCCGTGAATCAAAGAGATGAAGTCTTTGCTTTCATAGAGCTTCCATTCTAGTGGAAGGAGTTAGATAAGTAAGCAAAGAGACAAAGAAATAACATATAACACACCAGGTGGTGTTAAGTGTTACAAAGAAAAATAAAACAAGATGGGAGGAGTGCTTAGGGTCAGGGTGCCCAGCAAGAGGAACAGGTCCTTGTTTCTGAGTCTCACACCTAGAGATTTCTCACTCTGACAGTAAGAGTGCTGAGGCTGCTGATCCTGGCAGGGAGATGGTCTTGGGAAAGAGATCTTAGAGTAGAACTGGCCTGAGGCATTCTCCTGAGGTGTTGGAGATGGGGATTGGTGGGAAGCCAAAGGGTTAATTTATCACGCTAACCAGACATGAGGGCACAATCTAGAAATAAAGTCAAGGACTAAATAAGCAAGGAGAGAGCAATCCATGGATGGTGGAGGCTTTAACTTCTTGCTCTTTGGACAGAACATCCTAGCAGGCATTGTGGCCCAGTGGTGTCCCAAGCAGTGTCCTGCAGCAGGGCCCCCTCCCAGCCGTGAGCTGCCCTAAGGAGAGCCCTGATTCCTTCCCCTACCCCGGGTGGCTCCTGCCTCTGCATCTGGTCTTGATTTTCATCTCGTGTGCTGAAGAAGGTTTCACTGGATTTACTGAACTGGAGAAATCCCTAGAAACACACATACTCCCACTGGAAAGATTGAAGTTACTCTGCATTAGTGACAGCAAGGGAGATAAAAAACTAAGAGGGCTTTCCTGGGATCCTAATGCAGGACATGGTATAGTGGGTGAGATGAGATGAGAGTTCCAGACCAGTGTGATGTTGGCTCAGTTAACCTCTCAGGACCCGTTTCCTCATCCATCACGTGGAAGTAATAATATTTCTTACCTTATAGAATTTTTTGGCATTGATTAAATGAGTTCATATTTGTAGACAACTATAATGGTGTTGGGTGAGTAGTGAATGCTGGATAAATTCTAATTATCTTATAAAAGTGAGATAGCTTCTAAGTGCCAGAGAAACTATATCAGAGGACATCTCTGGCCTTTGTATCAAAAAGGTTGGGAATTCCTGAGAAGAGCCATGTAAGTTCTTCAACAGTCTCGGCTCCTTTTAATTGGATATTTCTTCCTGCCTTGTAGCCTATGTACTGGCAGTGCAGATGCCCCTTCTCCCCCAGAGGGGAAATCTTATTGCAGCTGTTATGGGGCTGTTATTTAGGCAGCTGATTTTGGCATGATCTCAAGTGAGACGTTTGACCTGGCTCATTTCTCAGGCTCAGGAGTTTTCTGGCAAGTGTGAACTTCCATGGTCCTGGGATGCTCAGCTGGAATTTCTGGCATGTATCACACCAAGCAGGTGGCTTGGGACCAAAGGGCACAGAAGTTTTCAACAATGGTTGGAAAGAAGTTTAGGTCCCAAGAACCATTAGTTACCTGCTTGTGCGTGAGTGTGCAGTCTCTCCAGATGGACAAGAAAGGTCCCATTGGGAATCTTGGAAACAAACAGTATTTTCTCCCAAACTTGCCTGCTTTTCCTTGCTCAGGAATTCATTTTTGTGCTAGCAGTTTGAGGGTCTTTGTGATGCAGACTTCTGCTTTATTCTGAATCCTATTTTGCCTGACCAATCAGCATTCTGACCTGGGAGTCTTGCGTGTCTTTCTGATGGTTTTCTTTTAACTCATTTATTTACCTTTATGACCACATTTCCCCCTATTTCTATGAGGATTATCCACAAGAAGTGAAATCTCTTCATCCTCATAAGCATCTAGCAGAAGCTGAGGGACAAGGGACTCTTTGG